CTTCTGCTGGCAGTTCGCAATTGCAAACGTATGATTCGATGAGTTAATCGGCTATATCAGTAGATATAGATGGCGCATCATGGTTAAGTTTGGCTTCAAAAAATTTCTTTCATCTTATGAAGTAATTCTTAATACTTTTAACAGGCACGCTATTGCTATCCTTCACCATTTCACTAATTGTTCCCCGAGTTATAGTTGCTTTATAAAGAATATGATAGAATAGTTTCATATTATCGCCCAATCGAGCTGCCGTCTCCATTTTCAAAACCATGTCCCTCCACTGATTTCTGTTACGCCTTGCTGCTTCCGTTGCAAATCTTCGAATCATCCGGTAGTCAGGATCTCTTGACATTCGCGCTTTGGCAGCTTTTTCAGACAGTTGGAGAGTTACCTTCCGATATCCAACTAGCGTGCTTCAAACTAGTATGCTCAAGCGTGGAAGTGGCTGACTTCCGCAGACGTTCCTTCGATTTGGACCAGCATTCATTTGCCGTTACAGAAAAATCATTGGTATTTTTAGCATTGAGATGTTTCATTTCGGTTTGAAATACGTTTAAGAGCAAGCTAACAAAATTCAAATTCCTCTTTCTCATAGTCCTTCCTTATAAATACTCAACTAATTCGATAAAATATTCATTGTTACCACTCACATAAAGATATAGTTTCCGCTTATTTATTTTAATTCTGCAATAGTGATCTACGATAGTTCAACTCGCTCCACTGGCTTGTGGGATTGAGGCAATATGCCAGGGAATCCCTTAGCGATAGAAATACATGTGAGTCGCCAGCATCACCCAGATTTTTGTACAGGTTTACTTCTGCGGAGAATCGAACCTCAGCGTCGCTCCCAATTGAGCAACAAAGCACTGAGCCATTCTATCCCCAATTATTGTACGATAGAATCAATGTTATACTATTTTACTAAATAAAGTTGATCTAAGATAACACGATTTTTGATAAATGACCGGAAAGAATGTGCAAAAGAGTATAGTGCTTTAGCGAGCAAGCTGACGCAAGATATATCTAAAAACTCATGTTTTCGAAGGTGAAATCTCCGTAAAACTAGTAATGTAACATCGGCGATTATTATATAATTTATTCAACTAAAAAATTATTAAGCGTAGTATTATAGGAATAAAATAATTGAATTGTGTTTCTGTTTAACAATTCAATCTCTTTCAGCCATCTTAAATTATGTTCATTTCCAAAGTTTAATCTTCCTAATCTATAAGTTTAATCTATATTCTGTATAAAGAATAAATGATAAATGATAAATGCTTTTCATCACACCAAGATACTTTGCAACTGTTTTCAAAAAATTTCTCAATTCGTTTTCAAACAACCACGAAGTTTCAGTCCTTACTGGTTCCTTCTCCTCGCAACAGTGAATAGAAAACCTGGTGACCCATCTGTATTTCTATTACAATGAGAGTGAACCACTTATATTATCGAAAGAACATCTTTTGAAAATTCAATTTTTCAGCAATGTTTCCTGGAGAAATCGAGAGAAATTAATAGCTATTAATAGCTAATTTAATTACTATTAAATTTAAATATTAAATATTGAAATATTTATGAGACCAGCTGACATGGATGATTCAAGGCTTGATAAACGCCTAATAATTATTCCAATCTCACTGAGGGAATTTGATTTTGATTGAAAAAAGTGCTATCAATAAATATATTTAAAAAATATCAATTAAAAATATCAAATAAATAAACTTACAGCATTGATATCGGAGTTTATCACATTATCATTATCATTGTACTGCAGAATTATTTTCATGAATATGCAAATTTTTTTTAAAATACTTCCAAAAAGAATTTCTGCTAAAATTTACTTTTCTTTAGTTGAAGCGTATTTATGGAAAGCACTGCGGAAATTTTTTAAGCATTCTTTTATGCAGAGAGGTCCATGAGATAAAGTATGTTATTAAGAAAATTAGCTTTTTGGTCAGTAGAGAAAATTAGACAAAATCCGATGTAAAATCCGATCATTTCTGCAAGAAAAGAATTAGTAATTTCGTAATGTCTACGGTAGTCTTTGTAAATCTAGGAGGAAGTATATAATGATCGCTGCAGTGGTTTAGTTTCATTGATATATAAACGATACTGTGATCGCTATTACAAAAAGGTTCTAGAATATGAACAATAAGACATAGGTGGTGCTGTGCCTGATCTTGACATGCCGCTTTTGACCTGCATGAGATTTTAAAAAGATGTGATGGTTTTTTTCATGCAATTATTTCCCCTTTCTTGATATATTGTAATCACCAACAATTGCATAATCAAAACCAAATAATTTTATCAAGATCTACGGTAAATTTATTTCCATAGTATGGTGCACGGCATAGATTTAAAAGAAAAATATTTTTATTTTATTAATTTTAGTATTCAGTAAAAATTCTAATTATAACAGAGATTCAAAGGGGAACAAATAGAATCACAATAATAACATATTTGTATTCAGTGGGAATAAGCATGATAAGCTTCCACCTTTGATCCAGACTATCTGCTCCGTCTTTGCATGTTACTTTAAAACCATCGATGTTTAATTCGGGATTATGGGTAGAACGATGTTTCACCGATGTTTCACTGAAAAATGCCATTTGGATTGTCAATCAGCTTCTAGCATGGTATATGGTTAAATGGTATGGTTAAATATCCTAAACTGCTAACCAAAAAAAGGAGGTAAAGATATTATCCGACGTTCCGAACCATTCAATCGCGATAAGGTAGACAGTTATTTGAAGATTTCCGCTTTTTTTGAATATTAAGGCTCTGGTTACGAATATATTTTTTTCGCAGTTGTTTGTCCAGTATTTGGTTAAATTTTTCCGCAAAAAATTTCTATTTGGCTCAACCAAGTAAATATCCTTGTCCAGCACAAATGAATCTGATGTATTTTTAAATAGACAAGGATTTTAAAAGTGGCGATTGTTGAACGACATATTTTCAACTACATCCAGAGAAGAAAATGATAGTTCACTGTAGATTGGAGACCCGATTTTACCAGACAATGCTTTTACTTTACTTTTAGCATAAATCCGCTTAATAAATTCGATTTAGGAAAGCGTTTTATTCGCTAAAATATTGATAACTAAGGTGAATATATTTTTTGCAGTGCAAGAAGAGCTCTTTTCAGAGAAAAGGAAATTTCCCTGAATAATATTATCTCAGTTGTTCCGAAGATGGTAGGTCGATATTCGTTTCACCAAATTTACTCGCAGTGCATTGTGCGATTCACCGACATTTGGTTGCAAGAAATCTCAGCGAACTATTCTCTAAAATGTGCGAGCATTGCAGTAGTGTTAATCAGAAGCAAAGCAGTGGTCGATGGTCGATTATTTGGATATTTTAGTTTGCTATTTCATACAGTACGTAATAAACTGCTTGTCAAAAGGTGTCAAAAGCGATGATTCGCTGCAAAATAATTTGCAAATGTTCCAGAACGAATAGCCGCTTATTTGCATGGCAAGTTGAATGAAATAAAGCTAGAAGAAAGTGCGAGGAGACTTGATTTCATCAAGAGTTTCTCCGATCTGCGCCCATGTTTAACTACACTTTTCTATAGGCGCAACTTAGGCTGAAGAGAATTTTCCCAATCCTCGAACATAACCCCAGTAGAAAAAATGACGATTTTCTTGGGGATACTCCAGGATGATCTTAATAGCAGTTTTTAAGATATTCTCAATGAAAATTCCTAACTGAATTTTAGATCCATTTTCAAGAGTCAAAGAATCAGAATTACAAGAAAATTAACCAAATTATCAACAAAAGAAAAAATAAAAGGAAAATTTATAAAAATTAGATATCAGACTTCTCGTCATAAAAATAAATACTTCATCAGCTTCATAATACCAAACTGCGAGCTTTTTTATTTATATTTTTTTTTTCATTTCCCCCACCACATTCAACAGAATCTGGATTTAGTGATAAATAATAAATCATTATAAAATAAATATGTTAAAGAAAGGGAGAAGCACTAGGAAAGAGCGCAGAGACATAAGGCTACAAGAAATTGAGGCAAATAGATAAGTATTACTAATATCACATTAGGCCAAAATTTCTTATTAATTTTCATTTTCATTTGACCTTTTGGGTGATTATTTTTATTTTAATTTTGATTCTTCATAATTTCTATTTAATTCGTTTTTATGCTTTATAAAGATTTAACAAATGTTTTATTTCTTTCAAAAGTAGCTTTCAAAAGTCGGTTTTCTATTTCACCACAACTTTTTAAGATTTCCAGATTCAAAAATTAGTGTTAGAAGCAATAGTATTAGAACTGGATTTCCATATTAGAGTTAGTCTCACCTCATAAAGATATTGCCTGAAGCGGAGCAATGAATAAAACAAATCAATAGAAACAATAGAAAAAGGTGATTAACCTAGAAAGATTAGTAATTTATGATTTACATTACAACGAAGCAATAAGAAGAAAAAGCACCATTTTAGAAAAATGAATGAAGTACAAAATGAAGTACAAAAACAACAAGATAATTATTTTCTATGGAGATTTTTTGACGGCGATTCTTGCAAAGAATAATATTTATACTTCAATCGATTAAAACGCACCTTTTGTTTAATTTGTAACTGAAATTACTATAAATTATTTAATTATTATAGGAATGATAGTACCAACCGTGGCAACTGCTGTAAATTAATTTCAATGAGGAAATTTTAACGTTAACAAGTTTTTCTTTCCTCTTGTGAATTTTTTTTTTGTCTTTCTGATTTGAACTTTCAGGAAACCGAAACTCCTATTGCGTAACCACTACGTTAGCAAAATCTGTACATGAATTTCATCCCTTTCATTTCTTTCTGGTAAGATTTTGGGGTAAAAATTTCGAGATTGGATGCCGTATGCGAAGTCACATTTATCCAAGATTTCCACAAATGATCGATAAAATATAAATGAATCTATGCATCTACTATGCATTTTATGCATCTATTATAATCACACAATAATCAATAAATATAACCATTTAAATACACATTTATAACTGAAATATGACTAGTAAATAAATCAAGAGAACAGTAATATCCGATAGCAAAAATATTTAATACAATAAGAATAAAATAAATAATGAATGATAAAAATACGGCACTAGAAAATCAAAATATTTTACCTTCCGTAACTGCCTCCAGTAAAGCCAACCATCTTTTTCTGGATCCATATCTTCAAACGGACGTTGACGTTTTAGGTCCAACTCAAATAACCATGAAGGATATTCGGAATCGGGCAATATTTTCGGACCCGGTTCTTCACCTGTACACAGAAAAAATTTACTGATTAATTTATCAACAAATCAATAAAATTTATATGAAATTATAAACAAAAAGTTGAGATTATCATAAAATACCATGAAAATTAAATATTAAAAAAAAATATTAAGATGAGCAAAAAATTTTTTTTATGTAAAATTAAAACAGTCGTACAATTTTCGAATAATTTACCCTCAACAAAATAATTTATACAAACATGCGAACATAATTTTTCGGTATCAAAATCGATGAATTTTTTGTCCCTTTTTTCAGGCAAAATTTTTGAGCCAACTGAAGCCGCAAATTTTCTAATCGATGTCGGAAAAAATGAATCTAAATTATCAATTATAAGGATTAATAAACAAATGGAAATTATTTTCATAATAAACTTATAAATTAACCGACAAATAAAAATATTCCCAATAAGATTCTTTTTTTCCTTCCTATTATGGACAATGAGGGTAATAAATGAAAAATAAAAAATTTTTCTTCTTGAAATCGTGGGAAATTAAATTTAGGAAATTAATGGTTTAACAAATTCGTAAACGCAAATAAACGAGATTAAATATATTGTAAGACGAACAAAATAAGTAAAGCACCAAGGAGTATAAAGTATGAAATAAACGGGCGGAAATTAAGTGGTTGCTGATGAAGTTAGCGCTTCAAACGCTGGCATTTTCGGATCCGCACAGCTAACTATCATTAAAAATAGCATTTATATGGGCGCCACTGGCAGCTCAGTTTACTCAGATCTCTCCAACTAACTTGTCGCCAGCGGCGAATTCGCCTAAGCCGAGGACAAAGAGCATTGACAGTCATAAAAGCAAATATTAAATAATAAAAATACATTAATTTTTAATTATTAAAGAAATTATTATCATTATTCAACTAAATTTAAAATATTTTTTCCCAATTAAATAAATTTAAAAAATAAAAACGAAATTAATAAAAATAATTCAAAGAAAGAAAACTTACAATACCGCGGAAATTTTACGATTAAACAATGGCAAAATAAATTCATAAATATAAATAATAAAATTAAATATAAATATAATTGTTTTCACTGATTAAAATAGATGAGCCAAATTTAGATGCTCCGCTTCGGCTTCTTATGGAGCTGCATTATTTTTGACCTACTAAAACTCGGATCAGTAGATTAAAAGCGTGAGTGACTACGAAGCGGATCTTTTGTTGATTGTTAGTGATGGGTTTGTCGCTTTGCTATGTCGTTGTTGAGGCGTAAAAAGTTATGGTTTTGGTTTACATTGTGTTGATTTTCGCGTTTGGGGATAGGATGGGTCAGTGGGTCAGTGGGTTGGTGATCAGTTCGGAGCGCCGACCTGTAAAAAATTCGGGTGATTCTGTCGCCGAGAGACTCCCTAGCATATTTGTCTATTGCGGCAAACCGTCGGAGCGAGTCTGCATCAGTAATGCTTGGGCTCTGAAAAAAAATTTCCTGATTAATTCAACATGCTTTGAAAATTATCGATAGCTTTAAAACCTTGAAATATTTGTTTTTGTTCTTTTTTTAATTAAATGAGTTGCGTCCCTTATTATCGATTAATGAACGCTTTCATTAATGTTTTCGTTATAAAATTATTTAATCATTTTTCAGTAAATTTGCTTAGTTAAATTTTATTTAAATTAATTTATCTTTTTAATCTTTTTTTGGAGTTATAGTTCAGTTTATTTATATTTTATTTTATTTTTTTTGGTTTTCAAAAAAATTTTAGCGTTCAATAAGTTATCATTGGAGTTGTCAGTGATAGCGGTGTGATAAGGGAATTCGATTTTAGACATGTTTATTTCAAGTTCAATATTTTTATTTTTTTACTTTTACTTGTAGAAAAGAATTCATTCTAAAAAAATGCCACCAACCGGCACGATGAACTTGCCGCTTAGTTCGATAACGACAGCTGCTCCATCTGTTAGTAGTACAAATACGGATGATGAACGAATTTGGTCTTCATTTTCTCCTTTCTTTTTCTTTTGTTGTTACTGCGAATAAATCATTATTTTAAAAAAATGTTTTAATTGGTTTCATCGTAAATAGATAGTTTTTGTCTATTCTCTTTTTTGTCTGAATTTGAAATTATCTATTGAAAAATGAACTAGAAGTTTCCATTTGAATTGGAGAAAAGTATTCAATTTTTTTTCTGATTTTAGGACTCAGATTTTATCTGAAGTAAGTGCAAATGGTACGAGTAATACACCGCAAGGATCGATTTTATTTTTAGGTGGTTTTTCTATTTTTTCGTAAAATGAATTGGTTGGTTAAATCGAGTGACTTGATTGCTCTAAAATTTTTTATGATTTTTTAATATTTTAATATTTTCTCCTTCTTTAATTTTTAATTTTTTTCCCTTTTTTCCATTATTGCGGAATGTTTTTTAGGTGATCGACAAAGTGGTAAAAGTTGGCTATTAAGTAGATTGGAAAAACGTGAAGTAAGCGGCCGTGGATCTGCTCTCGAGTATCACTTTTTAAATGTTAATACAGATTATCGAGACTCGAGTTATGCTTATCAGTTGAGTATAGCGGGTTAGCATATTGTAAATGTGTGATAAATTATTTATTTAAATTATTTATTCAGTAGAATGTTTAATAAGATAATCTTATTCTATAATTCTTATTTTATATTTTCTTTCGTATGACTTTGATATTTTTGATATATCAATAAATGCTGTGGCTAGAAAATTGAAATCAGGAAATTCATTAGAAAAAAATATTTTCAGATATTTTTTCTTTTTCTTCTTCTTCTAAGATATTAGATAGATATTTCTTCTTCTAAGAGCTCCTACCATTACTGTTTAGGCTGGCTTCGCTGGCTGGAAGGATGTTTCTAAGCCGCTTGGTCTGACGCTATTGCTACTAATAGAAATTATTCCTTTTTTCATCTTCTAAATCTATATATCGCTAATTCCTATACAGAATCTTTCCTAACTTTATCAGTCCAGGTCTTGATTGTCCCTCCAACCATCACCAGATTCGGCGAATAGTAGCGAAATATGCATCAATTCCTGTGGAGAACGTGTCTTAACCAGCGAAGACGATGCTCTATGATAATATTATTAATATAGGTGGTGTGTGAGGAAAGATGGATACGATCATATGCAATTTTATGCGCTCAACGGATCCATAAAATGTATCTTAGACATAAGTGGTCAAAGGCTGATAGCGGTTTCTTAATATCTTCCACTCTTATTGGCCATGTTTCGCAGCCATGTAGCAAAATCGAGCGTATTGTAATTATATAGATGCCGATTTTTGTCTTATAGTGATTTTGCGACAGTTCCAGTTTATCAACTGGAAAAGCACATTTGTGTCGTTATTCTGTCGTTATCTTGCAATTTTATACTTTGCCTGGCCGTCTGAGATTAGAGTGGATCCAAGATATTTAAAATCGGGCATTTCCTTAACCGGCAATGAATTAATAAAAATAGAGTATTTTATGTTATATATGACGAAACAGTTTCGTTTTATTTGCATTGATCCTAAGTTCAATTATCGCTGCGATTGTCGACATATTCTTATTTCGTCATAACTGACGGTAAAAAAGGTATCAGCGTATTCAAAATCTATGATAGTATGCATTGGACTGATTTGTACACTTCTTGAATACCGACAAGTGATTCCCATTATTCAGTATATCGCATAGTTGAATATTATGGGATGCATGACGGACACCAGTTTTTATGTATACTGATAAAATGCTTTTATGAGCGGAATGATCTTTGGGACACCGTCACATTCCATCACTTTCCAGAGCACTGCTCTATCAAACGAATCGAAAGCAGTTGCAAATTCGATAAAGCAAGAGACATTGGGTTCCTGCCATTTGAAGCGATGTTTTAGCACTTTTTTTAGCGTAAATATCTGGTTAGCACAACCGCGCTCCGGTCTGAATCCAGCTTGGTTAGGATGCGCTGTGCTATTTCATGTTGCCATGAAGCGAAAATAGCAGAAGGAAGCGAAAATTTTTTCGGAGATATCTAGTAAGCTGATTTCTCGGTAATTGCAGTACGTCCTGTCACCTTTCCTTCTTGGGAAAAGAAAGAGTATACAAAACTTATCGAGTTCATTATATTTTTCTTTTTATTTCTTTGAAATATTTTTACCAAAAATTTAACCAAAAACTCTCGATGAAAAACTGAGTCAGTTATAGGTGGTGGTGTAGCACCAGGCGAAAGTATTACGTTGCCAGTATGGGTGCTTGATGGTGATCAAGCTTTCGCTCCTCTTATTAAATTCGCATTGACGAATTGTTTAAGTCGTTGTGTTGTAGTTTTGTGTGCATCAATACTACAGCCCTATAGTATAATCCCAACGCTTAACAAATGGTCAAAATTACTAGATTCGCAGATTGCAAATATATTCGATCGTGGAAGTATTGCGGAAGCTCGCAAGGCTCGTAAGTTTTGTTGAGCTTTAATTATTTACGATTTATTTATTTTGCTTTTAAAATCGTTTTCAAAAAATTTTGCGGTGAATTTTCTCAAATATTATTTATTTTTATTTTTATTATTTTTATTTTATTATTTTTATTAGGAAAATTCATTAAATTTATGAATCTTTTTCGAATACGGATTGTCCATACTATCGAAATTTAATTGATCCGATTCATATTAAAAGGCGGCTTATTGCTGCTCTTTAAAAATTGAAATTCATGAAAAATAGGAAAAAATTCAATTTAAATTAACTCTTAATTTTAAATTTTAATTTTAGAGGAATTATTCTGGCAAGAATATGTTGAACCTCTCGATAGTTCTATGCACAGTGATAAAATTCCGTCAATGGAGGCAGAACAAGTTTTTAATTAAATTTTCACTCGTTTTTATTTGTTATTGTCATAGGATCGCGAAATGTTAACTACTGCAGCTAGAATAACCGTTTAATTTAGATACTTTTGCCTCTCCAACAAAATATATTGACACACAATACGGGAGTAGCCGTTGTTGTTGTATTAACGAAGTGTGATTTGGCGGCTTCTGAATTATCAGATGAATTGCTTGATCGCATTCAGTATCATACTCGGAAATTTTGTATGCAACATGGCGCTGCTTTGGTATGATAATTATATTTTCCGGTGTAATTTTTTATAGCAAAATGATTTATTTTTTGAGAACCAAAACTTTGGCATTTAACATACTGAGTTAAAACTACAATATAATTATCCACTTTGATACTCAAAAATTTCAAGTCGCAATTATTTTTTTTAAAAGGTCTCGATTAATATAGAAAATTCATTTCCATAAATTTCTTTCAAATTTTTTAATTTTAATTACGGTGCTTTGTATAGGTCTATACGTCTGCAAAGGAAGAACAAAATACTGCACTATTATTTAAATATTTGGCTCATCGTGTATGTGGTACACCTTTCACCATGCCAGCTCATGTTGTCGAGAAAAATGCTGTATTCGTACCTGCTGGGTGGGACAATGAAAAGAAACTTGATATTATCAAAGAGACAATCAGCGATATTGAACAACCGCTTGAAGTTGTTTTATTTTTCATAAAAATGAAAGTAATTCCGATACAAAATGCTGTTTCTTGCTTTTTTTTTCATTTAAATTTTTAAATGTACATATTATGTACAGATACCGAGACAACGTCAGCAAGTAAAAGATCAGTGGATTGAGGCTGAAGACGAACAAGTTTTCTTACAAAAATTGGCCAGTATTGATGCTACTTCTTCAAAAAAAAATATGGCACAAAAAACGATGAATGAAGGCGGTGACGGAAACTCGCCTCTGATATCGTTCTTTAACAATTTATTAAAAAATAAGGAGGGCCAGGTAATTCAAAACGCAGTTATTAAGAGAGAGGCATGGTTTTATATCTAAAATATCTATACGCATCTTTTAGTATATTTTCTATTTCAGGCAGTACCAGCAAAAGTGGCTGATCCAGAAGCACATTTGCAAAGGATGCTTGAGCAAGCGAATAATAGTGCCCCAGTTAATCCAACCACCGATGTACAGTTAGAAAAATAAACGGTATCGTTGAATATTTTAAACAGTATCGCTTCTTATTCAGTAATCTTTGTGGAAATTATTTTAAAATATAATATAATAATTTCTGAAACCTGCGAATCCATACTGTTTTTTTAAATTTCTACGAATCACTTCGGTTGTATTTTTGCCGAAATTATATAAAAATTATATATATATATATATCATAACACTACTATCAGTCGTATGATAGATTAATTATGTTTCCCTATTAATTATATCAACATTTCAATTGCGTCTTTATTTTTCCAGTAGCTTATTTTTGTGTAAAGGATATTAAGGTGCTCAGTTTCTCGGACTTTAAATTTTTAAATATAAACGTCTGTACCACATAAAACTTGCTTCGTACAATTGTTCTTTTAATTTATTTAAATTCTTTTTATTTATGATAAATAAAATGTTTCAATTTTTTGAGAAATGCATTAAAAGTAAGCCTTTCTTAAAAATTAACCTTCAGTTTTTTAACATAATATTATTTAAAGCCATAATCGCATAAAAATTTGTATTTCGAAAAATGTTTTTATATTATAACTTTAAAAACAACACTAATTAAAAAGAAATCACTATAAATTTGAAAAAAAAATTATTGAACAAAACATTTTAAATATTTTTAAAAAAATCCATAATCTTCACATTCATCTAACTAATTTCTGAAATATTCTGGGCTTAATTAGCATCGCCAATGATCATTTTTACCAATATTAAGAGCGAAAAGGTATTTGAGATCAGCTAAACTTAATTTGTTCAACTTTTTCGACATCGCACTAAAAATATAACTTATCTATACAACGTAAAAAACTATTCTTTTATAAGATAATAGTATTTTATTTAGTTTGTTACAAATCGTTGTTTTCTCAAACTACTTGAAGTTTTTCAGGACTAAACTTTTCAATTTTTTTCAAATAGTATTTAAAATATTAAATCTCAAACCCTTGTAAAAGTCCTCCTGCAAGAGCCAATTTTGAATTTTGTAGGGTAAGAACTCGCTGTTCAATTGTGTCATTGCAAATCAACCTGAAAAAATACATTTAGGACGGTAATTAAAAACTCAGATAGTAAAAATATATAATGATGGCAAAAATACATATCTAATATATATATATATATATTAGATATATTATATATTTATATAGATCGAGATGGAATGTAACGTCATCGGAATGTAACGAATATATCGAAACGCAGCTAAATCTTTACTTTTCCAGTGATATTCTAAGGTTTTTTCCAGTGATTCTCTTAATGCCTGTTTTACTTCAAATATGAGAATGTAACATAAATTCCAGTGGATATACTAGAGTTTTATCGGTCCGAACGTTGCCCTGATTAACAAGGTCCACGCCAGATGTTGAAGAACCAAGACTACTCGATGACGAACGGGCAAGTAGAACAGCGCCAAATGTTGTGGGATCATGGCAATCAGAACTACTGGAACAAACCTTACATGGACGAGACAAGATAATCTAGAATTGATGGAATGCTCCTATAATAATAGGTCTAATCAAAAGGATTATACGAAATGTATGAAAGAACTGTGGATGGAAAAAAATTCACGTTTATATTAACTAAGAAATAGCTAGTAACGCTTCAACTTAGCAAAAAGGAAGTTGCTCCTTCAGCTGAAGATGGGACATCCCAAACTTAAAAAGTGTTCAGAAAGAAGAGGTAGATATGCAACAAACTGGGAAATTGGAAATTTTCTTCCATTATCTTTGCTACAAAGCAAAGCGGTTGACATGAGGCAAAAAATTAGGAATGAATTGACTGTAACCATCGAGAGATCGACTACTGAGGCTCAGAAATGCACCGCCAGATAATCGAAGATACAAATAGAATAATCCCTACTCACTATAAAAAAACTAATGAATTGGTGAACTGGTGTCGCCATAACCACTGTAATTCTCGAAATGCCGGGATATAAAATCAAGAAAATAACAATACAATTCGCCCATGAAAAAGGAGATTATGACGCAGAGATAGTCAGCTGAGAGAATTACAAAAAGGTGAAAGATTAAGAATATCCGTATGTCCATATGGTAGAAAAATAGCCTGCACTCCATTAGAAGTCCTCAAAACTGCTAAGCAAGGCTCACAACACTGGCTACTAGGAAGATATATTAAAAGAAGTAGAGAATAAAAGATAAATGCCCTGTTCTCCAAAGGTATATTTTTTAACTTTAGTGCAACAATATGGTAATAGGGCCAGCAACAGTGGAAATTATACAGTACTGAAAGATGTATAAGAAAAAAAGATTCATAACACCAATGCAAATTGACAAGACTTGAGAATAAGCCACAGCAGTCTCCCACACTAGGAACCAGCCATCAATACAGTTGCTGATAAAAGCATAAAAATTTGGATAAAATCTAGTCCGCATATAATCCACTTCTATCACTAAACAGTGATTCATGAGGGCCTAGCAACACAAATGAATACACAAATGAATCAGCTGCTTGAGGGAGACTTTCATTCAGACTGGAACACAAAGACGGAGGCTGACTGTGAAAAATTCACATAAAGGAACAAGACCATCCACTTATTAATAATTGCCTCTCCACAAAACCAGAAGTTCCAAGTTCCAGCTAATCACAGATAAAGCGGTTCCTCAAGACTCAAAATCACGAAAGACAAACCTGTATACGGCTTGAACTGACTACAGGAAGCCTCTCAATGCCCCCCACACATGGATCTGTGAATATTTGGCTTTGCGCAAAATCAATAGGATTCTAAAGGCATTTATTGAAAACAAAACTGTGGAAAATGACACTTAACATTTGTCAACTCAAAATAGTCTGTATAAGTGGCTATCAAGAGCGACATAAGATGACGAATTCCTGTTACTATTCTGCGAAGGTCTAAATCAAGTCAAACAATCACGAAAAGTGGATATGGATACAAGTTCAAAAGCGGAATTAGCCATTTTCTCCACATGGATGACATCAAGTTATATGCTAAAAGCGAACGAGACATTGACTCGCTCATTCTTCTAGCAGGAATATATAGCGAGGACAATGTGATGCCATTTAGATTGGACAAATATGGTAATATGTGAAGAGAGGCAAAGCAGTAATGACTAATGGGATAGACCTGCCATCACGATATATAGTGGACATACAGGCTAGATACCTTCATATCCCATAATCACATGGTTACTACGACGAATAGGCAAGGAAAATTGTAACTTCTAAGTATCACCAAAGGACAAGATATCTTGTAGAGCTCAATAGGGAGAACAAAAATCATGCCATAAATATATATGCCCTGCCAGTCATTAGGTACGCAGCTGGCATTGTAAGATGAACAAAGGAAGAAGGCTGTTGATGTAAAGACCATGGAATTCCTCAGAATTCACGGAAATTTCCAACCCAAGTCTAACACTCAAAGATTTCACACCAGCCGGAAAAAAGGCCGGTTGGGTCTGGCGAATGAGGAAGCCACTATCTTGAACAAAATCCGAAGCACTCAGTAATATATTAGAAGGATGGCACCAAAGGATAAGCTATTGAGAAAATATAAGAAGTACCTACAGACACTGGAAAAAGACTAAGCAGAGAAAGTAAAAATAAGAAAAACAAAACCTCCATGGATTTATCGATAGATAGCTGAGGTAGCCGACACTAAGAAATAGCATCAGTGGTTGGAAAAGCTGGACTAAAAGGCAACATTAGAAGGAAAGGAACTGATTATAGCAGCATAAGAGCAGGTGCTAAGCATATTCACTGAAGAGATCCACCACATTAGGCAGGATTCTAGGTGCATACTATGAAAATTGCCCCAGAAACAGTCCAAAGCAGGATGTAAAATGCAAGCAGGAACAGCATACACTGAAAGGCATAACTTGGCATCATCTACAGGTATAGCTGCTTAGTATATGGCTTAGGCCCCTAAGTGGGAGATAAGAAGACGAAGATCCTATGGGATTTCTCCATCTAGACACACAAACAAGTCAAGCAGATATCGTAGTAGTAGACAAGAAACAGAAATCAGCATTAGTGATATATATAATATAAAAGAATTAGAGAAATACCACGGGTTGAAACAGGAACTAGAGATGACGTAAAAGAAAGTATTTCTAGCAAAAATTAGGTACTTGGAACCTTAATCCCTTAAAATACTGCGCAGAATCTTCAATCTCCTCTGATAGAAGACTCGAGGATCATCCTTATCACACACTGGGCTAAGAAATTTTTTGTAAAATAATAAAATATAAAAAACTGATAAAAAAATGAATAAAAATGACAAAAAAAAGCAATATAAGGAAATCTTACTTGTGAATAAATACATTTTTAATTTGACCCATACGGTAGATTCTGTCGCAAGCTTGCTGCTCCAAAGCTGGATTCCAGTGTAAATCAGTGAGAAAAAGATGATTGCCACCAACAAGATTAAGGCCAACAGCTCCTGCAGTTAATGACAAAAGCATCACGGAAGGACCACTTTTTATCTCATTAAAACTCTTAACTCGAGCATTTCTGAAATAGATAACTAATGCGAAGTTTGAAAATAATTCGTTAAATAATGTGAATAATCTGAAGATTGTAATATTTCAAAATCATAAAAAGTAAGCAATAGGAGGCAGAATGATTTGACCTTTCTTCGGGCAAAACTTTTCCAGTTATTGAAGTGAAATCGATAGAGCGTAATTTCAAATGATATTCAACAACTTTCAATAAAGATGTCCATTGACTCACAATAACACTGCAATTATACGATTATCAAACAAAAATAATATTTCAAAATCAAAAATGAAAACCAAGGAAAGGAACAAACCATTTATCATTAACAGATAACGCTTGATCAAGCCTTTCAAGCAAAACTCTGACCTAAAAATTTTTTGAAAGAGAAATTACAGGATATTTCATTATATAGGCTTTGAAACGCAAAATCTTCTAATAACTCACATGGTTATCACTTATGCTACCTTGGCTACAGGGTCTTCAAACCCCTCGATCCGATATGTATCTGAAAGTGCTCAAAAATGATGACATAGATTAAAAGTTAAGAAATGACCTCCAAAATATTATCCGAAATGTGGCTGCTACATTTTAGCTTTTACACTTTTAGTTTCAATTTATCTATTTTTATTTATATTTTTGTGATTATTTTGTGAAAGATGATGGTACATAATAAATATACGTTATAATAATTTCTAACAATAATTGTGCCTTATTTTTATTTCAAATAAGGTTTACTTACCTTTTAAGGGAACAAAAAAGATGTTTTAATTCTTTTTTTTTCGAAAAGAAACTCATGAAATATAAGCTACACTTTTAAGCTTTTTAATTACAGTAACAAAAGCCACTCCTTTTTCTACCTATATATATATATATCGTTGGGCCCCTCAAAATTTCACCCGACTATCCCTATATCAAACTAAACTTCTATTATACTTCCGATTAATTCCAATCATCCATCACACGATTTAGCAGGATGCATCAATTCCTATGATGAACGGCGAAGAACATGACCTAAACAGCATAGGCGACACTTTGTGCTGATATTATTGATTCATATGAATTGAGCGAAGATTTATGCAATCTTATTAGATTTTATCAGCTCCATACACATGTGAAATATACTTTAGATATAGAAGCTCTTCATATTTTCCCCTCTCATTGGCAATATTTCGCAGAAAAGTGCATATTATAGCTAGACAGGTGATAGATGCGAACTTCCATTTTGATGGTGACTTTGTGGTGATTCCATAGAGGAAATCCAGCCAAAACAAAGATATTTTTAATCGGGCTTTTTATTTTTCGTCTTTCACTTGATCATTTCCTATAAAAGGCATTTCAAATGCAGCATTGTCTTAATCGGTGATAAATTCAAAAAAAATAGGTATTTTCTCACCGTCGTAAATAAAGCGAACATAAATAAAGCGAAAAGAATAATCTTTTTACAGCGTCCAAGTTACAGTTTCCCTCATTCATACATAATCTACTGCAATTCATATTCGAATATTCAAGACCTCATAACATGCTATTTTCTAAATTACGTACATCTGCCTAGAATAAGTGCAATCGATGCCACAGTCTAATTGCAAGTTAAAGGAGAATTACGAAAAAGAACGCATCATCCTCGACATATACCTGTTTTTTTTTCTGAAGAATCTGTTAGTTCCATATATAGATAGACCTGTGCCTGTGACTCACTGGTAAAATGCAATTATAAGTCGAATGATATTCTCTGTAACATTGTCGCAATCTAATACTTGAGCATAGCTCTCAAGGATCAACCGAGGATATCAAAATCAAAAAAATAAAATATGCGATGATAGATTGCTTATATTTGAAGCAATATTTGAATGTCTTTAAAATATGAATATTTGGTCAACACATTCGCATCTGAATTATATCTAGTTAGACCCGAAAATTCTCCTACAGACGTCTAGAGGGACTAATTTCTCAATAGATGCTAAACAGAATTTCTCAATAGTATGTCCCACCTCTAAGGAAATTCGAGCAGGATTGCTTTGCTTTAGTCATCTGGTAATTTTCATTTTTTTTCACACCATTGAATTTAGAGTATGAAGTCGTGAAAAATGATGGACAGTTCCTGAACTATCTCCTCCAGCAATTTTATCGGAACAAAAAAACATCAATTTTAACATTAAAAGCAAAATAATATTTCTGAAAATTTTAAATTTAAATTGTCCAAAGAAACTCTACTTTAATCTTTAGAAAATGATTTTACCTTTGCAGATAAAAAGGATGTTTCAAAAAGTTCTTCAACATTGCTATCACCAAAATTATTCGCTAATTCTTTTTTTTCAATAATAGACATATTTGAAAAAATATGTGAAATCTCATTATCAACTTTTGAACCAAGTGTTTCTAGAGCTTCCATATCAATCGCCTAAAAATAATGCAAATAAATTTATAACCAAATCCAATGACATATAATACCAGTCTTTTAACTTTTTTTTTTCAATACCAGTTTTCATTCATTTTCCAGTACCTTTTTCTCCAATGCTGTCGATTTTTTTAACTTAAATTAAATTAAATTTAAATTTTAATTAAATTTTAATCCACTCTTATGTATTTCATCCAGATGGATTGATCATAAATTAATACGCATTACCTCTTTAATTAGAGCAAAATGAACGCAGGCCTGCCTTAACCTTAACAGTAAAACGAACATACAACCCATTGCTTGGAATTTGCCATCTACGATTTTCCGTACTCCACCTGTAATGAAGAATTCGAAGAAACGTACTGCATCATCGTTATTTACAACTATTGAAATTGTCCAAAATATCGCAACAGTGATTCTCTCTTCCAATTAAAATTTGCTTTTAGCATCTCGACTGACAAGTAGTCATCAAGGTCATCCAATTTATTTCTGAATTGGGTAGTAACAATTTTTAAAATACTTGCCTATAAAAGGATTCCTCAGAGGTGGCACTGGTATCCCTTTTCGGTCATGTGAATTGTAGCCACAAATCTCTCGGCCATGTTCTCCAGTAGTTTTCATAAATTCTATTACTTTTTGTCTGAAATACTGTATGATATAAAAAAAAGTACAGAACATTCAACAGGAAGTGAAAAATAAAAAATAGAAAATGATACCTGGATGAGACGAATATATAATCATAAATTTCTTTTTCAAGTCCTCTCATAGTTACCTCGATATCCTCAACAGATTTTTGTTTTAATTCCAACTAAAATCAAAAAAAAAAAATGAAAATATATATTTCATGCTTATTTTCAGAAAAAACTGCCAATAGAAAGCATAAAGACATAAATAAGAAATTACCAAAGGCTTTTGAGTAAATGAGGAGATTTGATTTTTTTCTCGACGCAAAAGAATTCCTTTAATAAGCGTGTTTAATCGATCAGCTGATGATTCTAAAAACAATGATAAATGGATAAATGGCCACTAAGATAAACCTTGGCAGATATCTATTAAATTAAGCATATCAGTGATTCATTTCTTCTTGAAATTGAGCGTAAATGCCTGGTACCTCCACTAATCATTATAATATATAATATATTCAAAAATATATATCATTTACAAATGTATGGAGAACAATGAAACTATTTGCAAATATATTTCATTTAAATATATTTATACTTATACTTATATTTATACTTATTTTATTTATCCAAGTACTTCACATGGAATTTTAAAATTTTATTTTAAACTATAAGAAAGACTCTTTACTCGAAATATCAATTACTACGAAATTTCAAAAAAAAAATCAAGAGCACTGCAATAGATAATAACATAAACTGAAATATTACATAGTTTTAAAACAAACAATGAGATGGAAACAGGATAGCCTCTCAAGCACCAAGGTTCCAATTCATCTAAGAAGGTTATTTAAAAACCCAAATGTTTCTGGCAATCCATCTATACTTTTATATTTCATGTTATAATAACTAGTAGAGCAAATCAAACCAAAAATGGCGATGGCTAAATATTTTGAAATAGACCTAAAAAATTATAAAATTTGGGATAAAAAACTTAGATGATTTCTCACAAAAAAATGTTCGTTTATTTTAATGCTTCCTTTATCTTCATCATCTCAAGAAGTATAAGAGAAATGAGAAAAAAGATGAAGAATTTGGCCGATAAAAAAAGTAAAATGAAGATCCTTCTCTCCATTTTATAAGTTGATGAATCGATTTGGATTCATGAACCATGAAGTTCAGTTATAGCTTCATAGGCAAAGGGCGCTTCATGGAGAATGGGGCTTTCTTCACGAAGTTTTAAATTCATTTTTATCTTTTATCTTTTAATCTAATTTTAACTTTCCATTCAATTTGAAATTATTAAATTTAAAAATAAAATATAGATAATTTTATGGAATAATTCAAAAACTTAGAAACAATTTCTTATTCCCGTGTGAGGTATAAATATTTTATATAATCGTCTTTTCATTTTTGTCAGAATAATATGATGATTATAGATGAATAAAAGCAAGTTTTAAAAATTTTCGTGGATAAAAATATGATGTGATTTTTCCACTAATTATGGAGGCGAAAATTACCAAAATTTCCCATTTTTTCATATATAGCTGGCTCATACAACCATATTATGAGACCGAAATTAAAAAATTTTAAAAATTCAAATTTATTTCCTTTTTTATATATTTTAATTATGATATAATTATGATAGGGAAAACTAACTACGTGAAGTCATTATCCATTCTTTCCAAATCACTTCTTCATCGAAAGGACTAATTCGTAGAAATCTAAAGGAAATTTTTATATTGATACAAGATAAAAGAAATGAGGTATAAATGAACGAAATTATAGAAAAAAATATAAACCTTATTAGAGGAAACAAGTCCCATAATTTATTTTGTAGTGGGGTGCCAGTGATACACCAACGCGAGTGACCCATTAATTTACAGCACGCTTTGGAAATTGATGACATTTTATTTCGGATTTGATGCGCTTCATCGAGTATAATTCGTTCCCAAGCAATTTTCATTAAAGACGACTGCAATCTTTGGAAATAAAAAAAAATATGTGAATTAAGTGAAGAATACTAGTTAATTGATAAGAAAAAAATATTTATTGAGTATTACAGTTCTTTACTCCTTTTCTCATTTATGAAAAATAGAATAACATTATGTGAGATAACATATTTTTGTATTTTGTTAACATATATTTATTATTAAATATTTTTTTTTGCCAGGAACAACTGAATAAAATCTAACTTCTATAAATAATTTTCAACTTTGAAAAAAATATTTGGAATGTACTATTGTATTGCACTTATTACCTCATTATCAACTGATGAATTATCATCGTGATCTTTACGCTTCTTTTTCTCTCCAATTTCTGATATTATTAAACCATAAGTTGTAAGTACAACATCAAATTGAGCAATCCTGTAATTGTGAAAATATGAAAATTATGGAGGTATATACGGTTCTGCTTTTCATCACTGTTTTCGACAATTATATAAAAACCAGATTATTCATGTGATTAAAAACTGTCAATATCTAAAAATGAAACGAAAAACAATATCTTTTAGGGTCACATTCCCTCTTTTGCTTTGACCCATGGAAAATGAGGACTGATAAAAAACCAGGCTTAACATGTTTTTTAATCTCTGCTTCCCACTGAAACAATAACGATGCAGGAGTAATAACCAATGTTGCGCTTGTAATCACTAAATTACCTAAAAAAAAAACAATAAAAAAGTAATCTTAAAGAATCCGAAGCACATGAAAACTCTGTTTATTTATTAATGTATAAAAAAATTTGACTGATAAAAAAGCATACGGTTCTGCTTTTCACCACTGTTTTCGACAATTTCAAAATTTTTTCTTATTTTTGTACCTTCATTTTTTTGATGAACTATCAATGATACCATGCTTAAAGTTTTTCCTAATCCCATATCGTCGGCTGAAAATATTTTAAAATTGCTCGATTTGTAACTTAGTGAACAATAAATATTAGTGAAGAAGAATTATTATGGGTAGAGTATCGAAAAAAAATATTTTTCAAGAGAAATAATTAAGAAAAAAAAATTAACCAAGAATTCCACCAGAAAATGATTGCTTTTCACGCCAAAGTAACCACGTTAAACCTTGTTTTTGATGAGGCATTAGTTCAGTATTCAAGCCTTCGGGAGTATTCGTTTCTTCACCATTTGGAGCTGACGCAATCGAGCTAAAGAAAAAAGAATATACTGGAAGAATTCCAGATATGAGATGAAATCCAAGAATTCCAGATGAGATGAAACTTCCATCGTTATTCAAACTAATATTTTATCCATATAACATTCGGAAATACAAAAAACCTGTATATTTTCCTGACAACTTCATCTGTAACTTCGAATATACGATGATTTTTCGTCCTTTCTTTTCCATTCAATTTTTGGTCTATTATTTAACTATATTCAAATATTTTAAAAATAATATTTAACTATATTTTATATATAAATTATAAATTATATTAAAATTTCGTAAATTATTAATATTCAGAAATCGCAACTTTTTTTCTAAGTAATAGTAACAATAAGTAACATATTATACAAAATAACAATACCTGAAATTACTGTAGGATACTTCCCGACCTCTTGGATAATAGTTCCATGTTTGGTCATATTAGTATGAAAAATTGTTTCAAAACTTGATTTCGAATGACGGCTCTCCTTTTGCAGTTGCAATAATTTTTCATCAATTAAACGAATTTGCGTATTAATGCGACGACCACAATCTGGTAATTCCGAAAGAATAGCATTGGCCTTCAGGTTCTATTTTAAAAAATATTTTTTATTATTTTTATTTTTATTTTTAAACCTTATTACTATTTTAAAACCTTATTATTTTTATTTTTATTTTGAACCGTTTGATATTTAAATAATCAAGAGATAAGAAAATAACAGTAACCTTATGATAATAACCTTTGAATATGATGAATTTAAGATTTCCTCCCACAACTTTGTTTTCTACGGTAAGAGATCAAGTATTTTAAGAACAATTCTACAAATGAAGGAAATTTCTTACCATCAAAATTTGTAATTTCTTCTTTAATGCACTGGTCGATAATCCATCCACAGTCTTAAAGAAGCATATCATTAATTCCAAATAAATTATATTTTAATTAAAATATTTTACATAGAATATCAATTTTTTCATCAAAAATAAAAATTAAACAGTGCAAAATTGATTAATTGAAATTAATTTAACATGATGTGCCTCATATTCTTTTGTTTTGCACTCTAGAACCATTAACATTCCACTTCTGTTTCTACTGGGTAAATATAAGTAGATGAACATAGCACAAAAAGCCAACATATATAGATTTAATATCGCTATATTATTTTAACTATGAGATCTACAGGAATATCTGCTCAGTAAATGGATTTGTTCTAACTTTTTTCAGTCTCTCAACTTGCGACGGTTCATCTTCATTTTCTGAACTACTGACAATTACAATTGAATCAGCTTCAGTTGATGATGAAAATATCTCAGAGACTTTTTCAATTCCTTTTGTTGAATTTGGACCCTGAATAAAAGTAGAAAAGAACAATAAAAATAAAATAAGCCAAGATATAGAAAAATATTTTTTTTCACCTTAAATTATCCAATAAAGCCTACATCTATAATTTTTTAAAAAACTAACAATTGAAGCTTCTGATACTTCTTGAATTGAATTGTCTTCAAAATCTTTTCTACCAGTTGAATCAAACAAACCATTCAATGTCTTTTTCACCGAACATTCGTTAATTGCTTTAAATGGTCCTAAATCTTTCACAACGTCCGTAAAAGAAATATTTTGCGGTGTTTCCTTTTCGGATAGGTTTAAATTATTTCCAATTAAATTAGATCTAACATTCGATTCAGATGGTGGCTGAAATGAATAAAGTATCTACAAAAAGATTCATAAGCAGATAATAATAAAGTTAATAAATAGAATAATTTTAATTTTTTTATAAATGAATATTTTTATGCCAAAAAATAAAAGTTATGAAAGAAAATAAAATTTAATAATAATTTAATTTTAATTTAATAATAAAATAACAATGAAATTTTAAAATTTATTTATTATAATTTAATAATCTAATTTATTAATTAATTTAAAATACCTCTGAGAAAACATCCGTAGATTTTGAGTGAACTAATGGTGTGTTTGCATCCGAAAACACTGAAAAAAAATAAAAATAAAAAAAGATAAATAAAAAGATGAAATTTTAGAACAAACAAAAATTTAGATTAGAGGAATATTCTTAATTCAATTCGATATTTGATTTCAATTAATTTAGGTCGCTTAATAGCAATAATAGCAATATACCTGCACAATGGCTAAGCATACTTCGACTTCGATCAATTTCTCTTCTATATGCCGTATTATCTTTAAAAAAAAGGCGTTATAATCGATAGTACCATAAAAATCTTATGAAATGATATTCAGCCGTAATAAAATATAAAATATAATAAATATAAAAGGTAATAAATAAATAAAGTAATAAAGAACAAAAATTTATGAACCTAGATTATATTTTAAATGCTCCTTTTTTCCTTCAGTTATCGGAGAGAAAATTGGAAATATATCATTATTGATTTTCTGAAATTCACTGAAGGTACTTAAGAATCGGAAAATTCATGAAAAATAATTTTCTTTTAGCCAAAATAATTTCCCGAAAGAATCAAATTGTTTATGGATAATCTAGTAAGAATCCACATTTGGAAGATAAGAAATACCAACTAATTTCTCACCAAAAAAGAAACTCCTTTCTCCCATTCGCTCGACAGTGAATAATTTATAAACCTATTCGAACCTGCCGGAAGCCTGTATGAAAGAGATTTAACATTTTGCCCCACTCTCTGACTCCTATTCATCCTCCTTTTCGCTCTATTCATCGCTGGCCAGTTGGCCGAATAGTACCCCACATCTTCAGTCTTTCTTATTCGATTAGAAATTTCAGAATTTGTTAGTGCAATGGAAAAGAAACAATTATAAATCATTTCATTCTTAAAAATAAGATAAGAAATAAAAGAAATTCACTTCGTATTTTTCTAAATAATTTTCCGTTTTATTTATTGGAATTCCTTTTTGAAACGCAAATAACCGCAAAGGAGTCGACGTTACTGGCATTTTACGCACCGATGATTCTTCACTGGTCTCATCTGACGGAGAAAATATCGATAAATGATCGAATTCCGATGATAATTCGTTGATTTTTAATGAATCTTTACAGATTTCTCCACGATTTTCATCATCCGACAAATCAACCGTTCCTTCGTTCATAACTGAAATCGAACGAAATTCATCGCCAAGCTGATGAAATGGAAAGAAAAATACACGGAAATGAAACTAAAAAATGAAAACGGAAATTAAAATTAAGAAAAAACTTAGAATTTTCTTTGGTAATCACGTTTCTTCAGGGACTGAAAAAGAAATGGAGACCGCTCAGCCATTTGCTCGACCGACTGACGACGTTTGGCTTGCAACGCTCGAATAAAGCCGATAGGCAATAGGGAAAAAGGTCACGTTCGTGTCACTATACGTAGACCCAACGTTTGTGGTGTCTCCCACAAAAGGTGAGCAGACGAGCAAATGACGGGCGCCCCTCAGCAGACTACAATAGCCGAAATCGGAGTTTCAGCCATACGATATGGTACGAACGAACCGAAACTTCTGATTTATTCCTCTTTCAAATTTCAAATTGTCAATAATTTGAAATTTATTTCTGGCGGGAAATAATAACGATAAAAATTAATTGTTAAACTTATTGCAAAGTAACGAATAAGAAAAGGGAAAATATGGTAAATCAGTAGAACTTCGCTTTTTCAGATTTTTATCACTAAGTTATAACTTTAATATTAAATGTAATAATAACTGAAAAACTCTAAAGGAAATTAAAAAAGGATTATAAGCTAGCCACTGCGAATCGGGGACTGATTTTTTCGTGCATAGCCAAGAACGTGAAATGGAGATCCGAATATTAGATGAGCCGAAGATGGCCGAAATTTACCAATAATTTTGTTCTTTTCTCCGTTCCTAAAGCTTATTGTTTGTTACACTATGGAGGGTTGCATAATAGAGAAGGGGGTAGGGGAATGGTATAGACGTGGATGGAAGGAGAGAAATAGGCTTGGACGAGCGGGTTAAACGCCTAAATTTGAGCGGTTATTTTCGATGTATCCTTTCGTCATTGGCTGTTTCGTGTATTTTATTTTGCTAATCAATTTTCACTTCGTTTTTTTATTGTTTTGCCATAATAAATAATTTGGTTGGGGATGGAATGGGTCAGAGAGTTGTCGCTTAATTCTGAGTGCCGATGCTGAGGTTGTATTTCCAGCAGGAGTGGTCCAAAAATCCGAGTGGTACTGGCGACTCACCTGTACTTCTATCGCCAAGGGATTCCCTGGCATGTTTGTCTAGTGCGACAAGCCAGCGGAACTCGTTTAACCAGTAACCAGAGAGGACTCTTTTAAAAAAATGATAATTTAGTAGAATATTTCTTTATGCTCCGTTTATTTGCTTTTTTAAATTTTTGATAGAACATGGCTACTTCAAAGAAGAAAACAAGGAAGCTTCGTGGTCACGTATCACACGGTCATGGTCGGGTTGGCAAACATCGTAAACATCCTGGAGGCCGGGGTAATGCTGGCGGTCAACACCATCATCGAATTAATTTCGACAAGTATCATCCAGGTTATTTCGGCAAGGTATTTTGGTTATTGCTTACGCACTTGATATGCTTTTAAATCAAACGTAAAATTACTATGATGATTATTTTATGGCTTAAGGACCAAATTTTTCACTGATCTATCTGTAATTTAGGTTGGTATGAGAAATTACCATGTTCGAAAAAATCAACTATACTGCCCAACAGTAAATGTGGATAAACTTTGGTCGCTTGTATCTGAAAATTTGCGGAAGTCTTATGCTGGTAGAACAGACAAAGCTCCTGTGATTGATGTTGTGCGTGCCGGATATCATAAAGTTTTGGGAAAAGGAGTTTTACCAAAGCAACCAGTTATAGTTAAAGCTAAATTCTTTTCGCATAGCGCTGAACAAAAGATAAAGAAAGTCGGGGGAGCGTGTATATTGATTGCATAAATTCTCTTTGTTTTTCTTTGTTAATTGCTTAATGATTTTTTCGGCAATAAATTTATTAGAAACGGTTTTGTCTTGTTGATTGTAAAGGTTGACCATTAACCTTTATTTTTTATATTTTACAGGTTTTTTATCACATTGCTGCAAGTAATATTTATAAGGCGAATAAGCAACAATTCTTTTATAGACCTTTATGGTAATTTTGCAGAAAGTGTATTGTTCTCCAAAGGAGCTAAGGCTTTCAGCAACATACACTAGCAATGTCAACTCAGCAGGAACTTGCTTGTGTTTATGCAGCATTAATTTTGCAAGATGATGATGTTGCAATAACTGGTGAGAAGATTTCGACGCTATTAAAAGCGGCAAATGTTAACGTCGAACCGTTTTGGCCTGGTTTATTCGCTAAGGCGCTTGATGGTGTTGATGTTAAGGTGGAAAAGTTCTCAATTTTCATTTCTATATTTCTACAAATAAGTTTATGAACAAGAAGCAAGCGACGAAAGTTTATTTTTTTATCCTCTAATTTTTGATGTATAATATATAATAAATTTGTGAAAAAAAATTTTTCTGTTTTAGACCCTTATAACGAATGTAAGTAGCGGGGTAAGTAGTGGCAGTGTCGGAGCAGCATCAGCAGTTGAAATAGCTTCAGCATCACCAGCAGCAGAAAGTGCCCCAGCGAAAGTAGAAAAGAAAGAAGAGCCTAAAGAAGAATCAGATGATGATATGGGTTTCGGTTTATTTGATTAATTCTCTTATTTTTGTTGATTTAAAATAAAAATTTTATTTTTAATGTATATCAATCTTTCAAATATTTTGTTAGGTCTGAAAACATCAGTATATGCTTGAAATTAACCTTTTGAAGTATTCGGTATAAAGTGAACAAGTGAATAAGATTGAACAAAAAATTTATATTTTGTTCGAATTTATTTGTTAAAGGAATTTTTCTTAATGCTTTCAACACAAAAATTTTTCTATATATTTATTATATATTTTTTAATATTCTATACTACTGTTTCAAGGCAATGATTTGGCATATAAAGTTTTTCAGAGAGATATATACGGAAATTATTATATGGAGTTTTTGCGATTAATTTTAGAAGTTGTAATTATCGGAATAATCTGAGTTGTTTGACGCGAAATTTTTATTGGTGTAGTTTGGCTTTCCATGTCTAAAAAATCGCAGTTTATAGAATTAATGAACAAAATAAAATATTGAGGATGAGAATATAGCGGATATCGAAGTGAGTGACTTTAGCATGTTAATTCGGAAAATATGGAATAATTTTTTTGCAATTAGTTTTCAGCCGGCATTAAAAGAGGAAAAAACTAAACCTTTTGTGAAAGGATTTTGGAAAACTTTTGGTTTGTCGTGACTTTGATCATATTTGTCAGTTGTCGCTTCATTATCAATCGTTGACAGTTTTAATGGAGGTAACCGCGGAGGTATTGGTGAACACTGGAAAATTTCTGGATTCGATAAAACTCTCGTTTCGGCTTCATTAACATCATTTAGTGGAACGATTCGATTGCAAGGGTGCTGAAATGGTGTCAATTTCATATGTCATCTTTAGTTTCTGTGCAGGTTGATGGTACCGTTGATGAGTCATTCGCGACACAAGGACTATTGGTCAGTTGTCTGGTGTTACCTGGAGGGTAGGGGGTGGTGTAGAAATGAAGAGGAATCATAAGGTTATAGATGAGGGGGATAAAACAGATTATGACATGGAAATTTGGTGGGAGGAGTTGGACTTGTAATTTATTGGTAGAACAAGTTACGATGAAGCAGTACAACTTTAGGAGAGGATATACATGGAGTAGCGAGCGGCAAAAAAGGCAAGCGGAAGAGAAAACACAGGAAAAAGAGGCAAAAAGCACAACTCCCAACAGGCACACCTTGGTCTAGATGTTTGATTGTATTTACCGAATTTTTTCACCAAAGCTCGAGGAATAAAACATTTGATATAGTTTTTTCAACTGATTTCTTTTGCAAACCCATATGAAAAAGAAACATATTAAGGATGTATAAATCCAGAAAATAGAGTGGTAAATTTTACTTTTGAATGATCAAAGAGAGGTGAGAGGTGATATTGAAGGATCAAAATATTCTCAATAAATTTGCCTCGGCTCTTGGCAGAAATAAACTTTAATCACTAAGAAAGGAATTTGGATGGTACTTCTTTCTCTAAGTGATAGCAGAAATGCAATTTTAGTAAATGCAATTTTTTAATAAAGCGTTATGAAATTTCCGAGCTAACCCTTTGCACTTTATCTTGTTTTATATTTTCGATTTCTTCATTTCTTATGCTTCGATTTGAAATATTTTCATCTCCAGACTTCGATTCTCTGGAATTATTTCATTTTTAATCGCTCATAAATACAAATGGAGAATTTGGAACTTTTAAAGAGAAATTGAACTGGAAATAGTGAGTGAAACGAGTCAAACCAGCGATGAATGTTGTGAGTGGGCTTTAAGAGAAGAATGCACTGATGGGAGAATTGTAAATGAAATGGACAAACCGAGAGACAATTTGATTGAGACGGTGGTTCCTTCGTAATTTCTCTTCATCGTGTCGTTGTTTCAGCAGTTTTAAAGCATTTTCTATATCACACTGTAGTTTTTCATAATCATTGAATATATTCTCGAGTAACCAGTTAAAGCCATCCTTTATCGCTGGGTCGATGAATTTTCCAGTTCCGCGAATGGCGCTGCATATTTCCTGTGAAGAATGAGATACTGCCAGAGGCTCATTTGCTAGAGATACTTCTGCCGACAAAAATATAACTCGCCGGCAAAAGTGCGCCAACTTACTTTCATGAATAGGTCATAAAGTGGAATAAACGATAAGCGATAGAAAACTAACAATGCGAATATTTATGCGATAAATATTGGTGAGATCATGTAATCCGAAACGATCGGTGAATTCTATTTCATCTATGCAATTTTCTTGATCCTTTTTATTTAATAATATTAATATAGGTTTTCCTTTCAAATCTTTATTCGATATAATACTTCGAAGTAAATCACCCGCTTCTTCAAGGCGACCTTCGTCACTGCCGTCAATTACATAAATTACTCCAAATACCTTAAATAATTTTTCTATAAATTTAATCTGGTAAAATTTAAATTTTTTGAAACTCGACGGTATAGTAATCATCATCGCTATGAACTACGGTAAGAATCCTTCACAGAAACCAAATTTTGGTTTAAAAATTGAGTTAGTGAAAGAAATTTTCAAACTTCAGTATTTTCAAACCTCAGGAAAATAAGTATCCCAAATCGCTCGTATTTTTTCGCTTCCTCCTAAATCGTATGCGATAATATTATTATTATTATATTTAAAATCGATTAATGAAAAGCCATTCGTTGGTAAAATGTCGCTAATATCACCTGAAATTAAGAACAAATTTGATGTGGAAAAAAAGGTGGAGGAGGAGACTCCAATTTTTTTCAATTTTTTGGGCGCATTGAACTCTTTGGCTAGTGGTGGACCGCCGATTGGCCAGCAGACCGCTTAACTCCAATAATTTTTTTCGTAGAATCAAATCTTGTCTAATATATTTGCGGTCAGCGACTGTTGGAAGTCACTGCGTTCACATATGTCAATCGCGCAAACGATTCGAGTTTTATTAATTCGCTTCGTTACAATAAACTTCCAACAAATAAAACAAAGTTTTATTGTTTGTTTTTTGTGGCACTAATAATAAAGGTTTCGCAAAAAATTCGGCATTCGTTACCGAAAGTTGTGTAGTTTCGGGTAAAGCGATGCTTTGCTTCAGCCTCGTCTTTATTTCTAACCTCAAATGGCTCTTTAATAAAGTGGTTGAAGTGTTTTCATCTCAGTAGTAAAGCCAGCCAAACCATGGATGTGAGCGCTATTAGAAGAAGAAGAAGGATTGTTATTATTTAAGCTTAAGACTAGAAATAGTAATGCTGCGAAAACATTCATTTGTTAACGTTGAAAAAAGTGAAAGAAGTGTTTTAAATTAATATTTTAAATTGTTTGTGATTTTTAATATTTTATTAAAATTACTAAACTAATATTTTCAAGTAAAGGTAAAAAATTTTTAAATAAAAAATAAATGAACAAAAAACCTTAATTAAATGTAAAAAAGGCAAATTAATTGTAATTACAACATTAAATTGATTGTAGTATTAAATTTTTAGGTGATTTACTTCATTTGATTTTTAAAAAATATTTTTTTATAGAAAAAAAGTTTATGTGAAATATTAGGAATTGCTAAAATATTATTAAAATAGTTCGTAGTACATTTGCTTGTTTAGTAGAAAAGTTTAAATTGATTTTTAAGTTAAATTTCGGAAAAAATAAAATTAAAATTAAAAATGGATTGATCCAGAAAGGTTCTTTTTATATTATAGTTGCTATAACGACATTTCCCATCGTTCTTTTTTTGTGATAGTTGTATAAATGATATTTAAAATGAATGGATTCAGCAACATTGGATATAGGATTTTTTCTTACCATAATAACTAACATTTGGCTAAAATTTAGCATTTCTAGTTTGGCTAGCTCTAACGACTACTAAGAAGTTTTTTAGTGAGAGGTCGTTTGAACTGCAGATAATTTTCAACACCATCCGATTTTTATATTTAAGGTTTTACACTTTTAAGAGACGAAATCAATGTTTGGCCTCCATCAAAACTATACAATACTCCTGGCAAAATATATTTTATTCTTGGAGAATAAGATGTTGTTACTGGTTCTTTGGCATTGGAATTTGAATGATAAACAATATTTATTTTTATAGACACTAGGCACGGTGTCTGAGAAAATCACTTAAAATTAATAAAAATACCTGATGAAATGGCCTTAATTGCAGTTGATTTGCCTGCTTTATCAATTCCTATTACACATAATACAATCTTCCTAAAGTAATTTTGTTCGACATGATTTATTTTACTTCAGTTTAATTTAAATTTATTTCCCTCCCTATCAATTAATCATTGTAAGAAATGCACTAATCACATCAATTGCACATAATTTTCGACCATTGTCAATAACTTACAAATAGTATATGATAATATACAAGATTAATGAAAATAAAATAAAATATAGCTAAATTAATTTATATTATCAAATTATTAAATCTTGGGGTTAATTGGTGCAATGGCATGAAATTTTAATTTTCATCGTTAACAACGGTGCCTACGAAATTCAGATCGTTCAGATCAAACCCATCTGCGAATACCCAGCTGTTTATCAAAAGAATCGATGAATGAATGAACCGAACCACTCACCTAACTCTTAATTTTATGATTCTGAAATCCATGACTGCGTAATGTCGAAATACGAAATATTATACTCAAATAAAGTTAATTTAATTAATATTTAAGAATATAAATTCATTTTTTAATTTAATATTTCCAAATTTCTTTGCAAAAATAGAAGAAATTCAATTAAATTAAAAGAAATTTAATTAAATTAAACAAATAATACGAATTATGAAACAAAAAAATATGAAAATATTTAAAACGCTCAAAATTTTTTTTATTTTTGTTTGAAAATAATAATAAAATGAAAACGAAAAAAAACTATCGAGGATTAAAAAAGATGCTTTAAATAAAGAATAAAAAAGTGTCTGAGACATACCGAAATTTTTTCTTTTGGGTTTTCTTCTTATTTACCCGTAATTTAAAACCACCAACACAATTTCCCATAAAATAATAAAACAACTAGAGAAAATTGCCTTTTATTTACCACAAAAATTATTCAACAAATCGTCATAGCAACGAATTCTAACTGAATTCTGAGTGTATATACATATTTACATTTCAATTTTATATATTATTAATTGTAAAATCCGATTAAAATACTTATTAAAATAGTTTTTTAAATAAGTCGTTATTTTTAATTTAATAGTTATTGTTATTTTAATTTAATTTAAAAGTAGGTGATGATTAAGCCTCTGAGTCTCTGAACAAGCCGAGCAATTTCTCCCCAAGCAATTTCGTTCGAGCAGTGAATGGAGTGGTCAGCGAAACTAAGCCAGAAATGGTGGGAATAGAAATGGCTTTTAAAGATGATGAATATTTTTTACTCGTCGATAAGCCGATGAATGTTCAGTGCTTTTTCCTTGTTTAAAAAACATTACTTTCTTTTTTTTAACAATCCTCACCATTACTAGTTGAACTCGCTCCGCTGGCTTGTCATACTGGACAAATATGCCAGGGAGTCCCTTGGAGATAGAAATTCTTGGGTTCTTGTTCACTTCTGCGGGGAGTCGAACCTCAACATCGGCGCTGTAAACTGGAGCGACAAGCCACTGAGCCATTATATCCCCGATTCTTTAGAATTACCATCATCTTATTCTTATTTTTTCCTAAAATTTTTTACATTTTAATGAATAACTAAACCAATGACAATGAAAATAGTCATTTAAAAAATAGAGTTTTAGCAGAATTATGAATTCCAAATGAATCTAATTTCGAAGATGAAATATAACCCACTGATATGATTTCATTTCGAAATATTAAAAGACCAGCACTAAATTTTCGCCAGATTTATCTTATTATAAAAAATTACTTCAGAAGTTTCGATGGTTTTTGCCAATTTCTAATCCTCAGTTCCACGAATCGTCACAAACAAATACTTCTTACTTTTATCAACCGATCTCGTTGGCTTCTAAAGCATTAACACAAAAGCTTATTAATGTAGTAAATATTACAAATTTACTTACAAATTTTTGTCTTAAAAAACAACTTTGGCAAAGATAGCTTTTTATCATTTTAAGCTAAAAATTCATTACTTTATTACTAAACAGCCGTTATCAATCTACAAAGAATGCATTAAACTCAATTTTTTCTTGATTTTCCATAAGAAAGTGGTAAAAGATTTTGATAAATGGTTATTATAATTTATTATAATAAATGATAAACCAAAGAAAATATTAGTTTAAATGAGTCAATTATTAAATCACTTCGTAAATTATAATTTTATATCAGTTTTATATACAAATTTATTTATATCAATTATTTTCTGGCAAAAGCGAAAGCATTTTAATTGCAGAACAAAACAATTTGATGTAAACTGAGATAATTTTAAGTATTACAAAAATAATATTAATTTATTTTCTTTTTTTGTTATTCGTTTATCAAAAAGAAAAGTTTTCTCGAAAGAAGGAAATCGAAATTTGTTAAGCTGAGTTTAATTTAATTTAAAATCGGGGGATTTCAAATTTCATTGTAAATTTAGCTAAATAAATATAATAAATGAATAAATCTGATCACAACAAATAACAATAGAAATTATTTCATTTTTTTTCAAATAAAGTAAATTTTATTTCGTATTTTTTCCAATTAACTTCAATTGAAACTCCATGAAAATTGCGAATCTAAAGAAATTCATTCCTTTTGCATATGGAAAATTATTTTCATTAAATCAGTGGGGCCGACAAGTAAAAGTTTTCGAGAAAGTTTGACAACAAAAGACTGAATAGGAAGTAATCCAGTAAAGAACAAGTCAGATTTAATTCGCTGAACTCTTTTGCATCGCCTTTTTCAACATTCGATTTCAGTTATGTTGTATATATATATATATATATATATATGCTAAAAAGCTTTCGTCGGCCATTTATTTTCTAACTGGCAAACTAAGATTGACAAATGCCATAAAACGACATTTGTAAAAGGAAATAAGAATATTTGAAAGGAAATAAGAAAAGGAATCACCAATTTTGTCGTTGCCCGACTTTTATTTTGTCATTTAAAAAAAATAACCAATAATTTTATCTTTTTACGCGAACCGAACATATTCATGATTTTCAATTATCAAAAATCCACCATCGTTATGGTTTGAAGAAGAACGAAAAGGAAATTTTAAGGCATTTTTAAATTTCCTCATAAAGAAAAAAGACAATATTTTATTAAAAGCATTGAGGACATATTTACAATATTTATAAGAAGTTGATAAATTGCATACAGTAATTATTCTTTATATGACTATTATTTTTGTATCACCACTTTCATTATCGCTAACAAATAATCATTATTACTTATTATCAAGGAAGAATTTTAAAAATTTCTTTAATTCTGAAATACCCCATATTTTTTTTCAAAACCATTTACAATACAATCACTCATCACTCTTTCTGTACTAATACTAATTAAATTTTAATAAATATTTATCTTTCCTTTTCTTTCTATCCCATAATTTTTTTATGTTGAAAGTCATTGATCCACGCATTTTTCTTTTTTGTTAAAGATGAATACTAATTAGAATCAATTACATTTGGATTACAATGAAAAAATTAAAATAAATAATAATGACTAGAATTTTCTTTTTAAAGAGATGATCAATTCCTCTTTGCCATCATAACTTTAGTAATAAAATTCACAACAGCGGAAGCAGGTTGTTCAGGTTCTAACTCAGCAAATATATGACATGCATTATCACTTCGTGATGCTACCTTACGAGCAACGAATGCAAATATTCGGGCATTCTTCACATAGTTACTTTGAATATCGTTTGTACTAAATGAATTATCCCATCTGCAAAACAATTTCGGTATAAATTAACATTCTTCTAATAAATTCTTAAAATTGTAGAAGTGCAATAAGAATTCCAATAAATGCAATTCCAGTAAGGTTTCGTATGGTTTTTTACTTCGAATTGATAGCCATTAAACTCAAATGTATATTGTAAACGCACTAAAAAATCGAGGGCATTGTAAATGATTAAATGCCATTATATAAATGAATTAGGAGTTTTTACTACATTTATTTTTTTCTTTTCTAAGTTTAAAAAATTGAAATAAAACAAATATATAAAATTTAAATAAATTTAAACGTTTTATATTTTAAATTTCTAAAATCTTTTTTTATTTTTCTCCCACTTATGCTAAAGAATAATATTGTAAAATAAAATAATATAATATTATTATTAATAATATAAAGAATAATATTGTAACATAAAATAATATAATATTATGCTTGTCTTCGACAGGAGTAAACCAGTTATATTAAAAATCTGGATGGCTGCTGAGAACCCACCTGTAACTCTATCCCCAAGTGATTCTATGGTGTGAGACGTTCTTAACATGGTGTTCTCCGACGTGCGTGATAATACTCCATGCCCAGTGCTACAAGCGATAAGTATACAATCCTGACGTAGGCGATATCCCAAGTAAAACTGCTTAAAACCTATTAAGAGAAACGGCTTTCTTCATACGTGGCGAGGTAGCCGTATCAGCTGTAGAACGTCAGAAAGCTTGTGAACGATGCAAGCCAAGCAATCATTGTCTACACCCTGTTTAAATATGGTGTGGATAACGCCTGCTTGTCCGGGGTCGGACTTCTTCACTTAGGGTGTCGAGTAATTGTTAATTCTAGTTTACAGTAGAAGTACTGGTTATATCACTGTGATGCTTCAAATAACTCGAGGAGAAATGTCGATTGTCATTTCTGATAAGGCCCATTCCGCTTTCCACTAGGTGCAAACCGGTAAACGACCGTACAACCTTATCTGCTGTAGTTCTGCAATATCTCGGTCATCAGTATCAACGCTCCAACTTTATCGGCAGATGATTCTGACAAAAATAAAGATTCTGTGGGAAACTTCAATTGTTAATAAAGCCACTATTGAAAAATGACATGCCATAATCGGGAGATACTGGAATGCGCGCGTAGGTTCATGATGTCGCTACGATGAATTCTATAATTGTCAAATATGGCATCGGAGACCGGTGCGCCAATGGGGAACGCCTTCTCCGAAGAACATGAACTTTTTGTTACTAATACTTGCTTACGGCATCGCAGAAAATAACCAAGACTGCAACTAGATTGATTATATCTTAGTCAGTAGCCGTTGGAAGAGTTCCGTGCTAAACAGTCGTTCCTATCGCTGCGCTAAAATGGGCAATCTTTAAGGATCTGACCATGTTGACGAGCCAAGATCTGCTTAAAATTAAAATTAAAACCCACAAGAAAGAGGTTTTCCCAAGATCTTTCAACTCTATCTGTCTAAAAAATTCTATCTCATACTAAAAAATTCAGCAAGCGCCTTTCAAACCGGATTATTGAAGCACCTCAATGATATAAATATCAATAGCTTTTCTAGAACGACAGATAAATACTGGTCCCAATTAAAGACATGTCTCCGAAAATCAGCCACTTCCACGCATACTAGTAGGTAGGAAGTGTGCTAGTTGGATATAAACTGTCTGAAAAAGCTGCCTAAGCACGAATGTCAGGTGACTCTAACTACCGGTTGCTTCGAAGATTTGCAATAACAGTAGCAAAACAATTTCCAGTAGCATTGCGGGACAGAAATCACTATTGGAGCAAAATGGCCTTGAGAATAGAGACGGCGACTCGATTAGGCGATAATATGAAAGTTCCGTCATCTTCGTAAAGCAATTATAACTTGAGGACGATCAGTGAAATGACATGCGATAATAATGGTGTGCCTGTTAAGGCTATTAAAGATCGCCTCATAAGATAAAAGAAATTTTTTGAAGCCAAATTTAACCATGAGGCGCCACTGATATAGCTGATTCACTCGTCGAACCACACGTTTGCAGTTGTGAACTGCCAGCAGAAGAGGAAATGAACTACGTCTACGCACGTTATCCATAAGCTAAAGGCAATAAGAGTCTGAAAGAAGATGGTTTTCGGGACTTTTCAAATGTTGTCCATCATCCTTCATAACGCACCTTCAACAAGTGTGATCTTTAGTGTGGAAATAAAAAATACCGGATGATAGAACTGGAGTCTGTAAAGTCTATGTTCTCTCTCTTACAATATTCAACTATGCAAAAGACAAGATAATGGGCAACGCTTATAGGCACTCAAGATATATCAAATCAGTCCGCAGCATCGTATCACAGATCTTGAACACGCTGATGATGTAGTACTTTTTGCTCAATTATAAGGAAATGCAAATAATGCTAAACAATATATATCAATAACTGCAGTGGGTCGATGTAAATAAAACAAAAGTTTTTTTCACCTTTTATACAAGAAGTAGATAAAAATACCTATTTTTTTTTATAAACTTATTGCAGATTGAGGAACTTCCCGACTTTAAATACCTTAAATCTCCCTAATACCGAATGTCCAGGAAAAGATGAAACCCGGATGACGACAGCTAAAAATGGGTTCTTTCCAAATCTTCATGAAGCCATCGCGAGATCACCATAAAAACTAAAGTCCCTGTCTATATAATCGCGAATCATTCGATTTTGCTACATAACTGCGAGACATGGCCAGTGAAAGTGGAGAATATTAAGAGGTTATCCTGCCTTTGACCACTCATGTCTAAGGTATATTTTATGGGTCCGTCGAGTGGATAAAATTTCACATCTCACTTGCATTAATAATACCATCACAAAGAATAATGCTAAACAATTCGCTGGTTAGGGCAAATTCTTCGACCCCCACCAGATAACATGAAACATAATTCGTAACTTGTTAAACCATATGATGGGTGTGACCAAAAGTGACGTGGGCCAATCAAGACCTGGACTGGCACAGTTAGGAAAGATTTTGAACGTACAGGTGGACTAAGAATATGTGGACTTAGACGATGGAAAAAAAAGTGGCTCCTATTACTGTCGATGATGGTATCACATCGAAAACCCTTGTAACCAATGGAGCCATCCTAATTGATAATGGTGACAGCTAGAAGAAGAAAATTACTTTATTACCTACAATCATTAATTAATTAATTAAAAAATTTCCAATAATGCATTAAACTAATTTCTAGTCTATACTAGTTTAGAACTAGTTTTCTTAAATAAAAAATATTTACAGAATAGCAGCAAAAAAATTTAAGGTTTAAAAATAAAAATTAGAAAGAATACTTTAAAAATAATATTGAAAAAAAGCTTGCAAATATATACCTTCGCTCGGAAGGGTCAATGCCAGCGAAAATTACAGATTGAACAGGATAATGCCGCCTGAAAAAAAGGCGTCGAGTATTGTCTGTTATCGTAACTCCTTGAGCAGATACCTGAAAATGTTGAAACGTGATGAAGGAAATGTGCAAAAAAATCATGAAAAAAAGATCATGAAAATCATGAAAAATAACCTTAAAATGAACGGAGACGGGTTGAATCATTCTTTGTTTATGTAAATCAAAAGCTTCGCTAATGCATCGACGAACTGCTTCCGGACCCGTTAATGATTCGGTGTCTATCGATGTAATGTATGTAACATTACAAGCTGAAATGATTCAAATTCAGGAAGTTAAAGTAGGAGTTTTTTGTTAAGGGATAAAATCTATAAAAACTATAAAATCTTGGATCAAATTAAGATTTTTTGGTTCCGATCACCAGCGGACGGAGCTAGCTTAGCCAGAAATGATAACCCTAAGCACTAATATTAGTTAATCGTCGAATGAGAAATAGTTCCAATGCGATTTAATAAAACAAAGTTGGAAAAAATTACCTGCTCCTTGTTGAAGCAATGCCTGCGCAGCACTAATATGTTCAGGAGTAGTCGCGGGATCATAATCGGGAAGAAGTAATTTAGTTGGTAGAGCGAGTGGGGTTATTGAATGTTGGTAAACTAAGGCAGATAATGTGCCAAACACAGGCTCATTATTGCAACCTTTCAGTTTAACTCCTTTCGGCGATGGTTCAATAAGAAAATGTCGAACTAATTCTGTTCCGTCACCTTCAAAATTTCTTTTAAAACAATTAATTAAAACACTGCATTCATCAATAATTAATTAAATTTCCACACTTATATCAAAATTATACGAAAAAAAGTCAAAAAAACGAAAGATAAGATGCAGTAGAGTGTAATCAGATAAAAATCAATTTGAGACAAATTTATTCGACTATAACCGATATAATTAACCCCCAAGTACTATAGTGAGGGGGACTCACTTGTAATTCTATCCTCTCCCCAATGACTTTCCGGCGAAGCAACCTCATTCCAAATAGTCAGTTAAGCCAGTCATATGAGATATAATTCACCAAAAAATAACAGTTCAGAACGGGAAACGCTACCTTCTCAATGATGTTACTTTATAGAGTGGAAAAAAAAGTCTTTAATGTATTGAAACAAACCAGGATGAACGCCAGGTGGTGGTGTAGCAACTTTAAGAGCAAGTCCGAATGCTCCAGGAAAACTATTACTGTCGCGTACTATAAATGTGCCCGGCGGTTTGTCTCTCAACATATTTATTGCTGGAATTAAAATTTTAAAGGGTAGAATTTTCTTCGCCACTGAAAAAGGCGAGAAAATACGTATTTTAATCAATTTATTTATTTCTATTATTTAATTTATTTCTATCAGGGACAAAATAGACGAGTGACAATGATTCAGATTATTGGAAAGCAAAAGTCGGCCTCAGGATTAAGTTAATAAAAAAAATGGTGCTGGCAACCCAGCCATAGTTCTGTCGTATCTCTTGGTAAAAATTTCCTACCTCACAAACGGCTAACTGCTAACCTAACCAGGAATGTTGAATGCCTGGCTATTTGCTTAATTTTTTTCCATCATTTTAATAATTCAAAACTAATTTATGGCAATTGAGAGCATTCAAGAAAGATAAATTCAATAGAAAATCTTTCATGAACTACCAATAAGTTCTGAAATCGGCAGGCAAATGATGAATGAGAATAAATTGAATAATTTTTCATTTCACGTTGTCCTTCAACATATGGTAAATTATTTTTTGAAGCAAGTCATAAATATAAAAATATGAAAAGAAAACCTTCTTCCCTTGATATCGTTGGTTTATACCAATATTTCGATGTGTCTTTAACGAATACTGGATGATGATGTATGACATCGTTTCCATCTAAGATTGTAATTATTTTACTAACTTTTTAATCATTAGTAATTTTATGGAAAAAGATATTCTATAATGTCATAAAAAACATAATTTATAAAATTATTATTAGATACTTTGCACTGCAAAAAGTTTTAAGTTTTGAATTTTTGGATTTGGACTTTGAACTTGAAAAACGAATTTGCAAATAACAAAATTTAGGAAAAATAAAATATTTTCTCATTTCTTATCATAAGTTTTACAACCATTCATCAATATCGTATAAAAAATAAATTAATATAATAACGAATCGTGGAATCGAAAAAATACAATAAGCAACATGGAGCTGATAGAAACCAAGATAATCTGAAGGATTTGCACTAAAATTAATGGACAAAAATACGAAAAGCTATTTGTAAAATCAAAGTCTCAATAATCCTTTTATTTTTTGCTATTAATTATTGGAATAAATTGCCTGTTGAAAGTTTTAGCACCATCAATACCTCGTTTCGAAAATAAATTGACGAGATTAATCCATAATATTATTTAACAAAAGCAGAACCTTCCTTGACTATTATTATAACTATTTTGCAAACATTTCTACTTAATAACTAATCCTAAACCCAATCTTCTACTGAAATTAAATAAATAAACCGCGTGAAAAACAAATGAAAAAAAACCTTACGCAATATTTTTTGTTTAAAGAATATTTTAGTTGAAGAATCCACATTATTGCAATTTTGATTATTTTTTAAAAGACTTTTAAAAATCATAGAATCTGCGAAAATATTCGTTGAAAGATGAGAAGAATTAATTTTTGCTGTTTTCCAACTTTCTGGCGATGAATCTTTTCTCGAAAATGGTTGGCTTAAATTAATATTCTGATTTGCATTTGTCTTTTCATCAAATTCGTCAGCAGTTGATGAAAGTTGACTAGAAGAATCAATTACTGCTACTTTCAAATTTCCATGTAAATCTTTAATTCCTAATTCCTGGATTATATCATTTCCCATTAAATCATTTTGGCTTCCCTTATTACTTTCCTTACCATCGGAATTGGAAGAATATGCCTCTACAGTTGCCTCATTTTTGGGCGAATCCATTCTTTCTAAATCTTGGTTAGTTTTATTCAGCAATTCATTTTGATTTTTCTTATCATTGAGTTCTTTATCATCTGATGATAGCTTATCAGATTTGTCAACCATTGTTGCTTTCGAAGTTTCTGGTGAATTTTTTCTTCTTATTACTACTTCTTGATTGATGGTATCGTTCAACTGATCCTTGGAGTTATTTTTCTCATTCGATGATAATTTACCAGCAGAATCAATCTTTGCTGATATTTTTAAATTCATTGCCAAACTTTTTTCCACTGATAATTGATTAAATTGATTATTGGATAGAAAGATTTCGTTTTCATCTGATGTTATATTATCATTTGATAATTTATTAGTTATAATACTCGTTGATGGTGAATCATCACTAGGATATGAATATGACATTATTAAATATTTAAAGAAATGAATTATATAATTGATAGAAAAGAAATGAAGTTGAAATATGAGCTGAAAAAAATTTAGGGAATTAAATGAAACCGATTTTCCAAGAAAAAAAACCTATTAACTACGGGAAATACGAACAAAAATCGATGATAAGACTGATAAAAAGAATAAAGTGGTGAACTGACGAGAACGGAACAGCTGGTTGATCGCCTATACCGCCTATATATACAACTGACCTAGCAAACCATTATCAACACCGTCGAAAACATTACTCTAAAACATCTTTCACAGAAACCCTCTTTTATCATAAAATTCATCAACAACCACACTCCGCCTTCTAATAACAATTAATTCATTTCCAAATTTTATAATCAGTCCAAATTCCAGTCTTTTTTTTGGAATGAATAGGCAACACTCAACTGGTATAAAAGCTACTAAACTACCTGCCAGAGTGTTATTTCACACATACTTATATATTAAAGGTGAATCGTGTACGTTACCAATTTAGTTTTTAATTTCACAAGAATTGTATAAACAACAAAAAAAATTATTTTCTATTTGTTTGCTGGAAATATAAAAATTTATTTAAAATTTCAATGAATGGAAAATAGAACTATTCATTGAGCAATTATTTATATCCATTTTTTTAAAAATTTCTTTTAAACTTCCGAAAAAAATGACAAAACCCAATTTTTTTAGTACAAATAAATAAGAGTTGAGTGCAAATCCCAGAAAATTAAGCCATAAATTTTGCAAAATAAAAATTATCGTCGGAAAATTTCTCTTACAACATTACTTAATGCAATTAATATTATTAATTATTGACATTATTTATTGTTATTTGCACAAAATAATTTTATAAGATGACTCATTATTAATATTATTATTAATTATTATATGCAAAAAATACAAATCGTAAAATTTCAGTGAATTATATGAAGCAATTAAAAATATTATCAAAAATCATTAAACGTTAAAAATTATTATTGCAAATCAAAATTATTATTGAATTATTAGTTATTAAAATTATTAAAATTAAATTATTAAACATAAAATTATAAAATTATTAATCTTCTGATAATTTTTGCTGGAATACCAAATTTTTTTACTAATCAATTATCAATTTTTATCGATGGTTAATTCAATTATTAAATTGCTTCGTCATTATCACTAACTTTTATCAATAATTTTTATATTTTATATTTTCCAGTTTTCATTTTGCACTTATTTAATCACTTCTAAAGATAATAAAGATGAAATATAATCGACTAATTTTAAACTCCTCATTTCGCCATTGTTAAAAATATTATAAAATCAAGAAATCAGTTATTAAAAAAAAAATCTGATGAATACCTGAAACTAGACCAAAGAAACTAGCTTCATTCATTTTTGGCCATTCTCATTTCTCAACATTAATAATATAAACTTTTTATAGATGAAGGAAAAAAATCGTGTAATTCGTGTAAAATCGTGTAATCGTGTAATTTAGAAACAAATGGGAAAAAATATAAATATAAAAAAATATATACATATAAATATAATATATATATATTTAAACATAAGCGATGTTACTTGAAAATTTTGCTAAAATTAGCTGATATCTAATTTAAAATTTACTTGCGGATCACACTGAATATATATATATATATATAAAAATATAAAATAAGCTTATAATTAAACTCTCAACTTCACCATAAAAGTAGAAACTAAAATAAAGAAAGATGGATGGAAGCGAGAATTTGCAAAATATTTTGGTTTAGCTGGTTTTACCGACTGCTAAACCCAGAAACGAACTCGCATATCCAGCCTGAATCCAATTTTAATAATTGTGGCCAACATATAGGATATTCTATATTCCTATATCTGACATTTGAAAACTACTATTACAAACAATAAAAAATAACAAAAAAGGTTATAAATGATTTAATGATTAATGATTTAAAAATTAAATAATTTAAAATTAATTTTAAAATTAATCAATTTTGAAATAAATAATGTAAGAAGTAAATTCCTCAATTTCTTAATTTTTAAAATGAAGGTTACGATTACGATTACCGTATTGATGAAGCAAGGATTCGGCTCCTGGTGCCAGCAGGAAAAAAAATAAAATTCGAATGGTGCTGGCCACCTTCACCTACATATTTAAGGGTAAGTAATTTCCCTGGCACAAATTTCTCATCGTACTAATAGCCAGTGGAGCAAGTTGTGAACGTTATCTACTTACTTAATAAAATCGATGGATAATATAATATTTCATAGCAATAAAAATAAATTAGAGAATATAACCTATTTTTCCGATTTACTAGCATATCATCAAACGTTTCATTACCACCATTTATTTTATAGCAAATGTTCACCATCTGCTGGCGAAATATTTCTTAAATTTTTATTTATAACAAGAAAAACGATTATAAAATATTTTTTCTTAAATAATTTATATAATAATAATAACTTTAATAATAAATAATTTTATTTAAAATATATTTTAAATTTTATAAAATATTTTGTAATTTATTCTCAAAAAAAATCTACAAACTATGAACAAACTATCGTATTGAAAATTTAAAATTCCATCAAATATGAAATATAATAATAATAATAAAATTTATAAAACGAGAAGAAAGAAGAAAATGAAGGTCGTCGAATCGCAACTAATTGATTCTTTAAAAAGAAATTTCTTAAATGCAAACTATCAAAAATATTTTTATTATTATTACTTCATGAATATATAAATAAGTCGCCAGCGCTCGCTATTTCTGCTTAGGCAAGCTTCAGTGCCTTTTAATATTATTAGAAATTTTTGCCAGGGAATCGCTTGCTAATAGAAATTCATATGGATCGCCAGCATCACTCAGATTTTTTACTGACCCCTTGTGAGCAGCAGAAGCCTTGTCTCCTAATACGTTAAACTCTTCGCTATCCTATACCTAAATTTATAAGCTTAATTATTAATAAATAAATAAAATTATACAATAAAATGAAAAAAAATTGATTCAGAAAATGGTAATTTTCTATGCAACAAAAACTTATGAAAATTCTTGATTTATTGAATTTCAATTTAAAATAACTGTCAATGTTTTTTCGATTTTTTCGCAATTTAATAATTAATTTCTCTTGCAGTCAAAATTATTTTTTCATTTTCAAATTGGTTAACAAATTATTAAAAGCATCGACACTTCATTCATTCAGAAAGAAATTCTACCACAGAAGTTCTATACTATGAGAGGAATAAGCCTGTTATTAAAAATGAAACATCTGTGACATTCCAAGTCTCTAATGAAATGACCTAATCCTAATAGAAAGATAGACAAATAGAAAGAGATAAACTGGAAATATTGAGCTATTAGAAAAAGAATTTGGTAATTTAAATATTTTTACTACAAAACAAAAGATCCAATAAATATGTATAATAAATAATTTTTAGAAAAATGGATATCATTAAAGTTTTTAGTTGGCTTTTTAGTTGGTTTTTAAAAACTTTATCGAATGCACTAAAATAAATAAAAATTATAAATTTCATTGCTGAAGAAATGATAAAGAAAAAATATTAATAAATAAAGAGTAAATAATAAATAAAGAATACTTGGCAAATAGCAAGCTTTTTAGTAAAAGTAAAGAAAATAAAATTAAAAATAAAAATTAAGAATTTTTCCACCAGTAAATCCAGAGAATATAAAAATAAAAAATTTGTGAATATATGTTTCGCATTGTTAAAATCAATGATTGAAAATTCTCGACTAAAATTCGCTTGAAATTTGATAAATTTGATGAATTCTCTTGAGGATTCCAAGAAAATATTCATTTTCGAATGGAAATTTTAGAAAGAAATAAATAATCCGATTAAAAATGATGAAACCATTCAAATCACCTATTAATTACTACTGTGAGGTGAGGTAATTGTATGAAATTAAAAGAATAAAATGGCTGCAAGGGAATTTCACTTTATTGCATACATTCAGTAAAAGTAATGATGAAAGGATGAAACAAGCTCACCGAAAGACATCATTGAAGTTCGTTGACTTTGTTCATAATAAAGTGATCTTGGCGATTCCGACCTTTAATTAATGGTATATTGAAATTTTATAGGTAAGAATCAAATTTTATTTTATGGTTTACAAAAAAAATATGCAAGAACAAAACAATTTTAATAAAGTTTGCTAAAGATTAAAACTCCATTCATCTTTTCATTAAAATTTTAAAATTAATTTAACATAAAAAAGACCGAAGAAAAAAAAGAAATTCACCTATAACTGATATAATTAGGTGCAGTGAAATTATCAGATGTAGCACCATTAAATAACAATGGATGATACGGTAATGGTGTTTCTTTCCGTACAGGAAACGCAGGTGTTGGTGCACGATTTGATGATGTGGTGGACCATTCCTTTATTAAAATTGCAAGCAAAAAATAAACAGGTATAGTTATTTTTTTAATAAAATTCTTTGGAGAAAAGAACAAAAAAATTAAAAAATTTAATAAATAAAAAACCATACTGAAATTCTTTCGCATTAGATCTCAAATATTACCCATTTTTCTTCTTAATTACTTAATTTTATCGGAAAATTTCTTCAAGGAAATTGGAAAAAATGATAACCTATCGAATGGTGCTCAGAACTCATTCGTACTTCTATTCGCTACCCGGTAATATCAGTGGAGCCAATCAAACTAAAAGAGGGAAAAATCTTTCTTTTATTTTAAAATTATTTTATCATTCTATTATTTAAAAGATTTACTTCAACAGGAGTGGAGGATACTCGCTGATTTACTGGAATTGTTCCATTCGATATATCATCATTTCGTTTTTTTAAAATTGATCGTTTCGAATTTGTTGGCGACGGCCGATCATTCTTAAAATAATAGAATGAATATTTTGAAGCAGAAAGAGTCATTTTAAGAAGAAACTGCTTTTATTTAATGGTGTGTTAAGGATAAAATAAAATGATATAAACAGATTGACGAGATAAACGGAATTCTCGAGGCATATGAATAGAAGGATTAGAAGAATTATAGAACGATTGATGAAAATGTCAATAAGAAAATGTAAACATGCAAAATGCAAAAATGCATAGATGAATTGTTAATAAAATTGCAACACTGCAGAAAATTAATAAATAATAATAATAAAAATAAGAATATTATATACTTGAACAATTGATCTGAGGTAGCTGAATTCATTATCATCGTTATTATCAATGATAAGTTGACCATGATCGTTTCTTGCAATATTATTACGTTCTTGTCGATAGATTGACTGAAAAATAAGAAAAAAACTCATCATTCTTCGCAAGCTTTTAGATACAAATTTGTTTTCATTTTTTTTCAACTAATATAAAAACTACTGTCTTTCATATTCCATAAAATCTTTGTTATTTCATCAGTCACTGTTACTATAACGATACTTAATACAGAACACTGATGGTAATATAAACGTGTTGCCTCACTCAATCTTTTAAATAAACGAATGATCCTAAATCTTCGACCATTGAAAATGAAATATTTGAAATATCAATAGAGCCTGAAGAAAATGTTCCTCCAAATGAATTCAAATGATAAAATATGCAAAGGTACCATTTCCTGATGGTCTTGGCCAGGGGTTCGTGTCCGTGAACGCCTAGGATAAGGACTGGATGGAGGACTACGAGATCGAGCACGAGGTGGTGGTGTTGGCGGTTTATGACGAACAATATCGGAATAATGTCTTAATTATTTATCAATTATTTCCAACTAGAAAAAAAAGAAATTTAAAAAAATTTAAAAATTTTAAATTTAAGAAATTTAAAAATCATCCAAAAATTTTAACTGAGTGAATAAGCACGGACAAGGATAATTTCCGCGATTTGATTTCTCTTAATCTTGCAATTTTTGGGCACAATTGTTCTCGAACTTATTCTCCAGAACTTACTTATTTGGTACTACTCGACGAATCGAAAAATTTTCATTATGCTCATTATGATCAAAATACGGTGATTTGATGTTATGTAATCGCTCCTCTTCAAGATGATACTCGACTAGTGGATCACTTCGTTGACCATAGCCTTCCACGCTATACGTCTGTTCATTGATTCCTTTCACGATCCTACGATCATCACTAACATGTTTTAATTCCTAAAACTGAGTTTTCCTTAGAGAATTCTACATTTAAACAAATCCGCCATCCGTTATCGATGAAAAATCAGTAAATTTACATCTATTACATTTTATTTCATTAATTTGTTTTCCTTAAGGTTTTAGCCTCTTTAGCAACTTTGACTTTTATTATTAAAATAAAGCTAAATTATTAATCAATTCACTAATGATAGTACCACGATGATGCTTAATTTATCATTTCAAGCAATACGGTTCCATCTTTATGTCTGACAAAATATTTGACCTTTATAGTGAGTGGAATGAGGTTAACTAGAAATACCAGAAATAATGAGTGCTAACCACAAACGAACCAGAAATAAATAACTAATATTAATTTACCTCAAGCAACATTCTTTCTTGTCGTTTCCTTCTTAATACTTCAGGATTATTATCACGTTTCGCTTTTAATTTTTTAAATTGGTTTTTTAGCCAATCATCCGCATTTTCAGCATCAGTTAATGAATCGTAGCGATCGCTGGCAAATAATCGACCGCTTGAAGCCTCTCTAGAAATATTAAATAATTTTATAAGACTGTGAGATCTACAGCATCGCTCAGCTAGCTCTTAATTTTCAAAAAAAACCAATTTCTGATCAAAGGCTTATTGGTTTTCTAACTGTTTAATGGTACCTCACATATCAAAGTGATAAATCAAAAACAACCTATAAGTTGAAACAGATGCAGCTGAACGGCAATGACGTTGTCGAAACAGCTCGTTTTCTTTATGAATATCACCAAGCGATGCTGTTGATTGAGTTAGAATTGGTCCTATTTGATCAACCGATGGTAAACGCCCGCTAAAGTAATATTCTATTAATTTCTATTCATTTGAAAAAATTAATCAACAATAGCTTAAGCCATGAATTGGCGAAAGGGGCCTTGTATAATAACGGTAACATAAGCACAACAAACCGCTCGATCTCTTATAGGTGCAGCAAAATTTCTCCGTCACCTTTGCACTTATTGCCATGAAGACATTAGTTTTATGACATCGATAATGTCATTAATATAAATGCTGAATACTAATGGATCCAATATGATATATTATACTATACTATTCACCTATACTAAAGGGGTATAATCTAATATGGAATTATTGACACGGACAGTTACCCTGAAGCAGTCACTAAAATAATCAATTATATAACAATAATTTGCTATGCGGAACTGGACTGAAATCTTTAGTTAGATAAAAGGTTGATTGATAAGCAATAAGCAAGAAGTTAGGTAGCAGTAAAATTTTTTTACAAAAACAGAAACTACATGTTGCAAAATACAAAATATACAGTTGGCATATGAAAGGCTAATACCCAGCTATATACACATTTAATACTAATGGGAAGAGAATTAGAAGAATCATATCTATTATCTTTTTTATGCATGGGAATGATATGATAGGAATGAAATTTAGAACATAAAATATCCGCATAAATTAAAAATGAAGGTAAAAATACTATATTTTTTATACAAAATCTGCGGTCAGATCCATTATATCATTATAGTTTAAAACGAGATAATCGAGTGATTACTAGTGATAAAAAAGTGAAGAATAATTATTAAAGATGACACCGAAATCACCAGAGGTCACCATTCTTCAATTAAGTTGTTTTTTCAGGTTCAGGGAATTGATTTTTAATATAACCCGAAGCCAAAATAACTCTGTTAGCAGATTTCAAAATTTTAATTTGTTCTTACAATTACTCACCGAGAGAATTACGAAAGGTTTTAACGATACAAAAAATGGTTAAGGTTTGGGCTGATTTATATTTATTATATAATTTTTAAAAATATTTTTCAATGAATCTTAAAGTTTTTTCGAATACAAACTTTTTTAAAATTTTTCAAGGCTGAATAGGATGTGGTATTAAAAATAAATTTTTTGAACCTAGAAAGCCAATCAAAATTCCAGATCTATGGAAGCAAAAAATAATGAATGCAATTGTAAGTGAAATTATGAAAACCTCTAAAAAAATCAAAGTATTAGGAGGAATCGATTCAATGTTTAATAATATGTGGATGACAATGCGATCACTACATTAAAATGCTTTCAATAGATTAGGAGGTACGACTGAATTAAGAGGGGTAAAACTATATGATTTTAAGAGAACGTTTGGAACTGGTTTATATCATTAATTATTAATTATTCTTTCCATCGAAAATAAATATTATAAATTATTAAAATTTCTGATGCAATTAGGTAGTCAGTTGTATCCAACAATACTCACAGCAATCTCGGCCTAGTATTGGAACCAACCAAACTACAAATAGTACGTACAGCAACTATGAAGATTGTTCAAGAAATCAAAAAAATAAAATCAACCATATAAAATAAAAATAAAATAAATTTAAGTTAAAAGAGAAAACAGTTACCGCTGCGAAATTTCTTTTAAAGGTTTTCTAGAGGAATCCACTGTTTTTGACGTCTTCGCCGCACTGAAATCGATAGGCTTAGAATCTATACATAGAGCTTTAGGAAAGTCATTTTTCTGTTGATCAAATGAATGATTTTTAACAGAATTCACGGCTGATGACTGTGAACAGTTTTTAATAGAATTTGTTGTAGATGAGTGCGAAGGTCGTTCCATTCCATATGTTAGATAAAATTCCGGATCACATAAATCATCCATATCGCTACTGGAAAATAAAGGCACTCGTTTTTATAAGCAGAGACAACATAGACAAGTGAATTTGTAAAAGGTTTAATACTCCAATATTCCAATTTAATACTAACAATTTTGTGAGTTATGCATAAAGCATAACGAATGCAAAATCTACTAAGTAATTTAGATTCAAAAAAGGAAGAATAGTTCTACAATATGATTCTATACATATAAATTATTAAAAGTTTCAACATAATTGAAATTAATTCGCTATTTTTAATGCATATTTGCAATTTTAATTCAATAATTTATTTCCAGAAATACCACTTACAATTATTAGCCGAAAATAAAATAAGCGATAAGGATAATGGCAGGACGAAACATTGCTTTGATTAAGGCCAAGCCATCATAAATTCAGTTCCTTTGAAGAGAATGAAACTAGCATTTAAAACAAAATTTAGAAGTTCATCTGAACCCCTGTAGATAGCAAAAAAAAAGCATAAAAATTTACTTATAATTATCATCATTCAATGTCTTGTAGGAAGCAAATTTAGTTTTTCGCTTTTTGGTAATTCGTTTAGCTTGATCGTCGATCTGAAATAAAAACAAATTAGATGTATTGCAAATGGATTTATTTCTAAATTTCCAAAAGAATCTTTAGGTAGTCCGTGATTTTGCCAAAAATTCTTAAAAATATGTATCAGATAGGTTTTTACAATGGTTCTCGAAGATTTATAATATTAAATTAAAATGATGGAAATTTAAATCCTCATCATATGTTTGCAGATCAAGCATTTTAAAATTTTAATTTTAAGCGTTTGGCCGATATATTTTAATTATCAATTCATAATTGGAATGGCATCGGGTTGAGGTATGGACAATGGAGCAAACCAAACCAGCAGTGGTCTTCGTGGTCTTCGAAGATAAACTGACGATAAACCAAATAAATAACTGATGATATATATGCACTATCAAGCTCTTCATTCGAACCAAATAGTTTTGAGTTAGTCCTAATTAAATTTAAATTTAATTTGAGGAAAATTTAATTAAATCAGTTCTGGATATAAAATGAATCTTCGATTCTAATAGAGTTTAATTTATTATTAATATAGCTGTCAATGCGAATCATTTTATCCCAAAAAGTATCAATTCTCTTTAATTTAAAAAACGCTGGGATGGGATAACCGGATGGTTTATTCCTCATATTATCGACTCGAGCGTCAAGGTAAGAATTTATCTCTCAATGACAGGAGTAAATCTATTATTAAATAATCCGGGTTCCAGTGAGAAATGGTAAGCACTGGCTTTTTATCTTTATAAGACAATTTATGAAAGGCAAAGCAAAGAATTTCAATCGACCAGTATAAACTATTTTAAAAAATCTTGCATAAATAACATTGTCAAAAGCAACAAATTGTTAGAAATAACCTATAATTAACTTTTGCCTTTATATAAAGCATGTCTAAAAGAAAATAAAAATGGAGATTATCTATTGTAATCCAAAATACTGCCCAAATAACCGAAAAGTATTAAACATTAAAAATAAAAACACACGAGAGGCTTTTCAACATCGTCCGAATTATCATTAACGAATGTTTTTGATAAATTTCTGTTTGATGTGTGACCATTTTTTAAAAAATTCTTTCTGTCTGAATTTTGATTCATTGTCTTGGAATGAAAATTATCACTTGTAATCTGAAATTAATTATTTGAAAATTCTATATTTCACAAATAAAATTTTTATTATCATTAACAAATGATAACGGAGGAGACTTTAGAATAGAAAAGATCACTTTGTGGATCCGCTGGCACCAATTTCAGTACCAAGATTGCCATACATAATATTAAATTCACTAAACTTATTTCAAAATTTTCAAGTTATAGGCCTTAATTTAAAGCCTTTATGCAAATAGCACCTCGCAGGAAAATAAGTTTGATTTTATAAACGCTGCTAGAAAATAAAAAATTAAAAAGTGGTTAGCCCTTAGCAACGTTATCATTCATTGTTAGTACGATTAGAAGAGAGTCAGTTGATGATAGAAGTCTAGTGGATGGCCAGCAGTGGATGACGGATTCTTTGCACTCAGTGGAAGAAAGCCGAACCTTTGCCTCTTAACACGAATAATGTAGGACACTATCCAGTTCCAAATGTTTAAAAATAGCAAAAATTGAATATAAAAGAGAAATAATATTTATTCACTCATAAAAAACAGAGAAAACCATTTCTAAAATAGTTTCTATTTCTAATTGATAACTGATAGCAAATAAATCAATTTTAAAGAGGAGAGGATCGGAAATACAATGCAAGAAATAAATCCACGAGAAGAACAAAGTATAACAGATAAGGAAGAAGGCCGCGAAGTGATTTCTCATTATTCTAATAGCCAATCAAGGAAGCCAATAGCTAATAAAGGTAGCCAAAGGTAGTCAAAAGGTAGCAAAGGCAGCATAAATGGTGAATGCTGTTAGGAGAAGAAGAAGAAGATATAGGTTAGGCAATAATCAAACTTTAATATATCAATTCTTAACAGTTGAGGGCTAAAAAAAGCCATTCGATACGTAATCGATTGAACAAATTTTTTTTCACCACAAAGGGCGTTTCTCACAATCCATTCGAAAAGTAAAACAATTTTGGTGCATAGCGAACTCCAAAAAATTTTCCAAAATATAATTCTAAGCAAATTTTTTGAAATAATTTCGCGAATTTAATCAAATTTAGGAAGTGAATTTCCACTTTATTTCGAATTCTTTCACATAAAACCAATAAATTTTAGACGAAATCCTTATTAATTTATTGTAATTCACAATCAATTTTTAATCAATTTTACTAAATTTCTCCTTTATTTTATTTCTCCTTTATTTACTGGTGGACTTCAACTCATTTTTAGTATGGTTTTTGAAATTTTTGCCAGACACTAACTTGGCAATAGAACTACAAGTGAGTCGCCAATACCACAAGATTTTCTAATGATAGTTTTACCCTTGCTAGAGGTGCTACGAACTTCAGAATCTTAAGACGAAAATCTCGACCTCTATCCACTACGCTTCCTTGATCCCAATTCTAAATCAACTCGTACTACTGGAAAAACGGATTCAATTCCACGTTTTTTTCGATTTATCTCGCCAAAACTTAATGGATTCGTAAAACCGATCAATAACACCACCATTTTTGATTTCTGTTGGCATTGGAATGGTGTGGCTTTGCCATAAAGTTCCTTAGATATGAAAAAAAAAAGATGGTAACACGTGGATACAATTTTTAATGATTTGCTCAAATTAATGGAAATAATTCAAATCTATGATGATTTCTTATGTCTATTTGATTCGAGCGTCTACGCAGAAGGATTCAATTAAATAAACCGAACTAAGAAATGAAAGTTAAAGAAATTTGGTAAGAAAACCAAATTATTTTCTGGATTTAATTAAATTCAAACGCATAGGAAATTGAAAATTAATAAACAAAAAGCCAAATTCTAATCTTTGGAAAAATGGGTACGTTGTTGACCCTATTAGTGATTAGGTTAGCTTATCTGAGAATTTCTGCCAGGAAACCATTTAGCGATAGATGGCGATGGATGAATCGCTCATGAATCGCATCACTCGATTATTTAGTGACTCGGATAATTTGCTCTTGTCAGTGGGCAAAAGCCGAAGATCTGAATCTTTCGAAGAGACTGGAATAAAGCAACAAACTTTCGCGATTTCGCCATCCCATTTCGGTGTAGTTGGTCGTCGATTTAATTCAGAGGAAGCGATTGATAAATTTATATCTGATGTGCTTAATTCATTATCCAATAAATTGGAACGATCCTCAATTTTATGCCACTGTATTGCTTTTTTTGGCGTTGTGAAGCGTTCGTTAAGAGCTCGAGCTGGTGCATAGGAAAAACATTTACTTGCTGGATCGTACCTTTAAAAATTTACTTAAAATATTTTTATTTTAAAATATTTTGAAATATTTTTAATTAATTAATTAAGCCATATTTTCATTTCAAAAACTATTTCAACAAACTTTAATATAAACAAATGAAGGAAAAGGGAATTTAATAATGCCATTCAAGTACGCCGATTAAATAAAAAATCCAATGAAGCAAATAAAATGATTTTTGGATGAAAAACCCTTTCTACTCATTTTCGAAATAAAACTCTCATTTATAATCAACCATAAGCTTATTCTTCACTCCTTGGATTCTTGGCAAAAAGCATTAAGTTTTGATAATCAAAGAGTGGAATAACCAGAAATGGTGAGTACTTACCACTTACTTATGTTTAAAATTTTAAATTTATGTTGAAATTTTCTATTAAAAATTTATATAACATTTATTTGAATCGGATGAAGAATAAATTTTAAAAGACATTCGTCTAATATTCTTCGGAAAAAAGTAGGAAATATATTTAAATTTAAAACTTATGCAAAACTGAAAAAAATCGGCTACTGATAAAAGGAATAATTCTGAGATAAATATATGTGAATAGATATTGTTCCTTTGTCATGAGGTTATTTGTAATAGGTGAGTCGCCCCTCCACTCAGATTTTTTAATGACAGGTTTGCTCTTATCAGGAGAAATGGGAATCGAATTTCTGGTGCTGAACGCTGATTGAAGTAACCATACCCTTCGAACAACCTTATTTATTTTTCAGCTATATAAGCAAATTTCTGAAAGCAGTTGACGAGGGTTTTCGGGAAATAAAAGGTTTGCAACAGAAATGCAAGCAATAAGTAAATCAAAAAATGATGAGAATTTGCGAAAATCTACCGCCTCTATGAAAAAAAATATACTTTGGTTTTCCCTTTTGCCATAAAGAGAAGCTAATTGATTTGAGTTAGCGATTTGCTTGGAATAAAAATTATGGCAACTAAACTATAAACACACCTCCCTTTAGCGATAAGATCAGGTTCTATTTGAAGTGTAGATCGATCATCTGCTGGACTAGACGGACGTGAAATTACCGCTGGTCGAACTGTTGCAGGCAAAGCTGAATGAGCTCTCGTTGCCAACTGCTCTGTTGGCCTAATAATAAGATTCAAATCATTGTATCGCTGACTGTAGAATATTATTTTAATATTTTTACTCAAAAATTATAAAAAATCTGGAAAAATCTTTATAAAACGGAAGAAAGGAAAAATATATCAGTGGATATAAGCAAAAAAAAGGAATGGCTAACCTGGTTATGTGTGAATAATAATCATGATTTCCTTCATCATGATTAGTACGCGGTTTAGGTGGTGGAACAGGTGGCATATTCATTTTGTCCTAAATTTGTATATCATAAATATTATATTAAAAAAAAATTTCGCATTTAATAAAGTAAAATTCAATTAATTAACTTAACTAAATTAACTTAATCAAATTAACATTAATTAATACTTTTAATGTGCCTTAATAGTCATTTTCTATAGTCTTTTCTGTTTTTATCACGATTAGCCTATTGCAAAATAATTTCATCAGGCAATTGCAATAGAACAGCTCTCAGCTGCTGGTGGAAATCATAAGACTTGAAAGAGAAAATTGATAAGAATCTGTAAGCGAGTGCCAAAGGCCAAAAGGCAAAGAGGCAGTAATGATTTCTAATTGGGATACTATATAAAAGAAAGGATGGGAATATTGTTCCGACACGTGGCTAAAAGGCTGCATAAAACAAAAAAGGTAGAGAACAATCGTTTTATAGCAATACTTCTGTAAATCACCCATATTAAAATTAAGCCTATAAGCCACATGATTTTTGCTTTAAAAAAATATCAATATTAAAATGATATAAAAAACAAATAAAGAAGTAAAATGAAAATGAATAAAAATGAAGAAATTCTTCAGAAACCTCTTTGCTTAAATTGGAGAAGATATACCAATATGAAAAATATAAATATGGAAATAAATATAATATTGTTTGTTATCTTAATGCTTTAATGCTAGTTTCATTTTGAGTTATTTTATGAATGAAAAACATTTTCCTTAGAAAATCTATTTTTCATCCAAAGATATCAAAATTTTGGAAATATTAACTATAAATTTTAACTATATGTTTAATGAAAATATTCACTATTCTATGGTATATATGAATAAAGTCCACAGATTCTTCATTTAGTATATCATATTATTGTAATAATATTCCATTTATAAATTATGAATTTTAAGAGATCGCATTAAGATATTGATAAAAATTCAGCAGTAGAAAGATTTAATCATTTGCATTGATAGTTGCTGATATGAATGATAAATAAAAAATTGGATTGGAAAAGAAATAAAATTTAAATTTAATTAGCCAAACTTACTACTTAAAAACCCACAAAGAACAAGGATTTTTTCTCTTTCTCTTTTTTTCTACAGCAATATTAACATTGCTAGTTTTGCTGGCCTCATTGGCTATTAGCACCTCAGAAAGTCACATCGGGATAGAAAGAGATGGGTTCTCATTACTATGCAGATCTCATCAAGAGCAAACTTGCAATTGAAAAAATTCAATGGCAAAAAATAAAAAGGGAAATATAAAGCGGAAAAAATTAAACGATATTTTACCAAAAAATGGTATTTTGCTTCGGATAATTCCAAACAATCTCATCAAGAGGTACTTGAACTGATAAAGAAACATAAATTCATATATCATTAGGGTTCAAATTCATATATCTCTACTCACAGATTATTCCTGATCCAGAGGAAAATACGAAACTCAAATGCTCTCTAACAAAGCCAAGTGGCATAATTCCAGCAAATTTTAAATTCTATAAATTATTATAAAAAAGAAAAAAAATTAAAATAAATTACATTTATATATTTATAAATCAAATCTTCTCAAACTGATAAAACTGTACGAAAAAAAAGCACCACAGACATTCGTAAACAAATAGATAAATGCACAGAGGCAGTATTTTTTGAGAAACGAGCCATCAATCTTGTTCGTCAATAAGGATTAAGAATAAAAATTGATTTCCACTTAAGTAAAACTGAATTTTGCGATATAAAAATATTTCATGACAACAGATAAAAAGAGAAATGTAAAGCGGAAAAAATTAAGCGATATTTTATTAAGAAAAGTTATTTTGCTTCCGACGACTTTAAGCAATCCGACAATCATCATTTAAAACTGAATTCAGGTGATGCTAGAAATTCACCTATATCTGGCGAACTCTCATGCTAACAGCCATTCTAATAACTAATGCAGTTAATCAAACTAGAAATGATGAATGGTATTGGAAGAAGAAGAAGATCTTATCATATATCATATAAATATTTGATATTTAAAAAAAATGCGATCAAATGAACAGAATCACTTGCGAAACGATTATTTTAGAAACACTAATATAAATTTAAATTTAAATTTAATTCAAATAAAACATTTTTAATGGTGCTTAAAAAAGCTTTTACAATTATAATTAGTTAATTAAACTATTTATACGATGACAAGCATAAATTCTAAAAAGCCTTCTCGAGCTATTATCTCTTAACCTTCTTCTAACTTGTTTTAGCTTAATAAGCTATTAAGAACCACTTGGAAACAGAAGCACAAATGGTTCTCCGGCATCACTCTAAATCCTTATTTTTTCATATAAAATCACCGTAACGAGCCAAATATTAATCCCTACGGTTCTCAGCGATAATCTTTTCCTATTAGTTTTCTAAACAAATTCTATGATATAGACAGAACAATTTGCAAAATTAGATATTCTTTCATTTCTCCATCATTTTAAATATTTTTCGCTTCAAAAATTTCCAATTTTATTCCTTATCATTTAACATTTACATATCAATTTTTTAAAATTTTCAATATATTGCGTGTGGCTGTTTGCTTCAAGGACAATAACTTATCACAAAACATAAAAAAACTTTTAAACGTTGGCATAAAATTCTTTATGAATAGATAGTTCAGTTATATTGCAATATTTTTATTTTTTTGCTTTCATGGAATTTCCAATAAAATCTAGAATCCAATCCAAATCCAAAAATGACATTATGCAATACTTATATAAAATACTTCTTCGAATTTTTTCTAGAAATGATGAAAATCTTCCAAGTAATCAGCAGAATCAGTCAAAGATGAGTGTTACAAAGTATAAAAAAAACTGAATTAATAAGATGAATCTTAAAATAATTAATGTTAAACATCACATCTGGAATAAATTTCAGTAGGCATTAAAGAAAAGAAGAGATTCTATTTCAATTTTAATTGATTTTTCTCAGAGAGTTTTTTTCTTCGGAAATATAGAAATTTTTTTTCCCAAATTGCACATTGTAGAAATAAAAACCAGTTTCGCTATAAAATAATTTTTACGTGTTTTTGGGATTTCGATTTATACAGCTAGGATGTATTTAAATTTATAGAGATATATGTTCATATAGAAAAAGGAAAGGGCTTTCAGGTTTGGCATTGGAAAAGCTTGGAAACGTCTTATCTTTGTAGTATAATCAGCAATGATGCGAGCTTGAAGATTTCCACCGAGAAATATAAGATTTCTAAATTTAATATATTTCAATTTTAAATTGTTATTAATGCAATTTCCATATTTTACAATTTTAAGAAAGAACATTCAATTTTCAATTCAATTTTACGTTGGCTTTTGAAGCAAATTATGCAAAGAAAAAATTTTCCTATATAAATTCCAAGGGAAAGCAAAATCCTTGGTAAAATAAAATTACAATTACAATTATAAAAATAAAATAAAATTATCAAATTAATAATTTGATTTAATTTCTTAATTTTTTGCTTAATTTATTTCAAATTAATTTGATAAAATTTAAGTTCATTATTTTTATAATTGTAATTGTAATTTAGTTCATTATTTCTAATTGGGATCGCTTCGCTTTCTCTAAGATTGCAAATTTTTATCACTTGGTGATAAAAACTACGAATTAGTTGCGAATCTTTGATGATTTACTCTTGTTCTGAATTTCTGATGATCAAGACGATAACCTGAGCGACTAACCATTCCCATTTCCCATTCGGCTATCCTGTTTCTAAAGATGTAAATCCAGTCGCTATTTAACATGATCCATATGAATCGAATCAATATTATAAAAAATAACAGACAAAAGGCAATTGCCTCTGTGATTCTAAAATTAGAGGAAAAAAATTCCAAAAAAAAGGAAAGATAAAGACCTTCATTAGCTCGGAGCCGATACCTGAATCTGTGCTTTCAGCTGGTCGATTAATGTCAGATGAATATTCGGCTGATAAAGCGTCTATAGCCAACGATTCACTTCGATCTAAAATTTAATGACGAATATCAGAATTCAACATTTGATTAAATAAAAGTGTTGAAATGAAAAGAGTTTAATATAATTAACGCTTAAGTAAATGGGATTGGCACTCGCCATGGTTGCGCTGTACCGCTGGCCATAATTAGCACCATAATTTTTGCCAAAAAAGCCAGAAGTAGGAGGTCGTCAGTAAGACTCGGGTTTTTTAAAGGCAAATTTACTCCTTTCGCGTTCAAAAGTCGAATTTTTACCACCCAGCACGATAGCTTAAAATACTCTTCTCGTGTCCCTATTTGTAACTCATTTAACACCTTACATTACACGTGGAAAAGAAAATTTACAACGAAAAAATTACACAAAATTCCACAAAACAAATGGAAATGAGAAATAGTGAATTTAAACGAAAATGCTCGATATCTTCATGAAAAATTGGCTATAGTTTGTAATAATTTATCGATTCTAACTAAACAAATAAATATTTTTATGAATTAAATAACCAAACTTTTCGATTCTTGTACAAACAAAAAATTACCATAGAAAAGAATAAACCATCACTGCTTAGATCTTTCGACTGAAGCAAATCTATCATTTAGAATTAAACGATTTGGAATGGAGCTGCGAATCTACTTGAGCTTTCCCCAAGTGATTCTCTGGTGAAGGAATCTCTCTCATTCTAATAGCCAATAAAACAAACCAGTGCTATAAGAAAATGACGAAAAGATAAAATAAATAAGAATAGCATGAAATTATCAGTGAAAAATATTTTCTATTAAGAAGATTAAATGCTTTTTTCTGCAAAAATTTTCTTTATTTCATATTTTTCTCACTTATTTTATAAAGAAATTATAAAAATTAAAACTATCAATCAAGAAAATACACAATTTACAAAAATTATAAAATTTCTAATAGAAAATTCGATGCAATTTTTAAAATTTGTCAGCTAAAATAAATTTAAAACGAGAGAGAATGATCGAGTTATAATGCTTTGACTAGGATCAAACAGTTATAGACTTCATATCTGGTTCGCTTGCTGAAAAATCATTGAATGGAAATGAAATCCAAGTACTGAATAAATTCAGGTACTGATAATGAAGATCCCTCTGAATTTCTCTCTTTATCAATGAAGGTCGTCTTATTTTAACAGCCAATAAAGGAAGCCAGAAATGATGGAAGTAGAGGACGAAAAATAAATAAAATGAAACTTAGCACGATAATCAGCAACTGAAATTTAAATTTAACTGAAATTAAAAACTGAAATTTAAATTTTTGAAGTAAATTTAAAAAAAAACACCGCAATAAACGTTTTAACTTTTCTAGAATGGAAAACATTTCAAAAAAAAGAGAAATAATCTACTGATCAAATGAAAAGGTAAGAATCAATAAGTGATATAGATATTTTATATAACAAAAGTATTGCTGAGAGGTGAATCGTGAAGAGTTGAGAAAAATTTTAAAAGTTTTAGAGAAGGCTTTTGCTTCGGATAAAAAAGACGATCTCGTTGTAATAAATTCGATAAAAACAATATTGTCTCTCCCTCACTGATGAACAATGAGTATATGTTCTTATAAGAAATCTTGGAAGAATATTGAACAAAATTTCCCAGTGAAGAATAATTGCATTTTCGGCTTGAAACCAAGAAATCTTGACCAGAATTTAATCCAGAAAATACTAATGGCTATTAAAGAATCCATCAGATGATTAAAAAATCCTTCAATCCTATAAAAATTTTTTCCTCCCAAAGATTCGACAGAAATAAAAAATTGTGAGAAAGGGATTTCTTGTCAAAAGTAATAATCCTGGATAGCAATAAGATGAGTTTGAAGAGAAATGTCAGTCATAAGATTATTATTATTCGAGCATCAAAAAAGTTTTTCGTTAAATTTTTAAAAAAAAGCTAATACTTGGAGTTATCATTAAATTTATATCTAAATGATAATTCATCATCGCTTTTAGAAATGAAACCCGAATCTAAGTTTTGCCATTGTTTTCCACTTCTTTAAAAAATTCTGCTATCTCCCTCTTTCTTCCTCTTCCAACAATATTTGCCATTTCTGGTTTAGTTAGTTCCACGATTCATTAAAGTGACCATTTCTTTCGAGTCATTTAGGGATAGAAGAACAGCTGAATACCTCCAGCATTAACCGTGTTTCTCCTTTGATGATTTATCCTCATTAAGAAATAGGAGTCGAACCTACCGGATGGATTATAGCAATATATACCACTTGATACACTATCTTACCATTTAAATAACTTTTATGTTTATAATCTTCTACGTTTACAATCTTTTTTGAGAAAAATAGTTCTAATAAATTAAAGAATATAGAAAATATAGAAAAGCTACAAAGAAAAATGGTTTATAATGATCGCTTCGCTTATATAAATTTTTTAAAATGATTTCTGATTTTTTCATGGGTTTTTTAGATGAAAATTTTATAGATCTTTCATTTTTTTGATATATTTCAGAATATTTCGTGAAAATTACTATTATTTTTAAGAAAAAATTTGAGGATTTAATTGCCAAGAAAGCATAATTTGAAGTATATATAAAGTAGGACTGCAATGCAACTTCATTAGGAATTACTCTCAAGTAATATCGAACAATGCAACGAATAATTCGTTTTTCAAAATGAACAAAAATAACAGTATTACTTTTTCATTTTATAAGCAAGTAGGTACGGTAAATAATAGTTATCATTTTTGTTTAAGGTCGTTCCGTTGTCTGCTAGTAAAGCTTTGCCAGGGAAACAAAAATTGCGGATAGAAATAAAAATGAGTCGCCAATATTGGAGAATTTCGAGAATTGGGAGCGTTTCAACAAATTATTCCTGATTTATTTTGAAATATTTCTCCATTCCCCGATTAAAATCTTACTAATCAACAATCTTTTTTTTTGTTCATTCAGCTATGTTCTTTTTAAATTTTTTTAAGAATTTTAGAACAGAAAATTAATAAATTTCTCTTTATTTTTTTAAAATTATCTTTAAATTTCTCTTTTTAAATTTAATTTATCTCCATTCTTAGTCTTTAACAGGAGTAAACTTGATGTCAAAAATCCGGGTGGCTGCTGGGGGCCTACTTGCATCGCTATCCCAAGTGAAAGGGTCAGGTCTCTTTGATGCAACGTCGGTGCGCATGCTACTTCTGACCGGTGATACATGCGATAAATATGATCTGGGCGTAATAATAATAAAAGTCCAAGGCATAAACAAACATAGAATTTGCTCGCAAACAGAGATAGATAATAAAAACTCATCAAGGGAGGCGAAAAGCTATCCTCTAATACTTTGTAACCGTGGTGAGATGCTGGCTATATTTATCTTGGAACATCAGAACGCTTATGAATGTTGCAAACCAAGCGATCACTGTCTAAATCCTCCCTGAATACCGCGTGGATGTGGCCTGCTTGTCAGAGATCCGTCTTCCTTATGTTGGCTTTCGAGTAATTATTAAACCTGGTCTCCAGCAAAGATATCATCACTATGGTGTCTCGGATAACTCGGGAGGAAATGGCGTGGCGTTTGTCATGTCTGATAAGACTCACTGTGCTCTGACTGAGTGCAAACCGGTAAACGACCGTACTGTCTCTGCTTTAAAGGTAATTTCTGCAATATCTCGATTGTATATGTTCCAACTTTATGCGCAAATGATCGCGATAAGGATAAATTCTGTGCTATCAACTGTTAACAACATCCCATGGTCATAATCAGGAGATACTGGAATGTGCGCGTAGGTTATGATTTCGCTACAATGAATTCGGTAATTGGTAAATATGGCATCGTTGTACAGTGTGCCAATGGAGAACGCCTTCTTCGTTTTGCCGAAGAGCATGAATTCTTTATTACTAATACATGCTTTCGGCATCGGAAGAAACATCTAGTTACGTGGAACTCTCCGAACAACCAATATTCCAATCAGATTGACTATATATTAGTCGGTAACTACTGGAAGAGTTCTGCACTTGATAGTTGTTCTTATGGGGACGCTGAAACTGGTGACCGCCATGGATTAGATCAAATTATGGTTCGAGCCAAGATTCATATAAAATTGACAAGTCCTAAGAAACAACGTGTCCCAAGATCTTACAAGTATTTCAAACTATCTCAAATTAAATGATCCGGAAACAATAAATGCATTTCAAATCGTTTATCGAAAAACCTCAGTGAAATGAACGTCAATGACATCTCTGGAAAGAATGAATACTGGTCACAACTAAAGATATACCTACAAAAGTCAGCCACTTCCACAGTAGGGTATACTAGCAGGAAGTTGGGTGTCGGAAGCAACTGTCCAACTGTCTAAAATAGAGCACAGTGGGACAGAAATTGCTATTGGAGTGACATGGCCTTAAGAATGGAGACGACGGCTCGGAAAGGTGATAATAGGAAACTGTTTCGCCTATTTCACAAAGCAACTATAACTCGAGAAAAGGTCAATGAAATGAAACAGAATATTAATGGGGCGTCTGTTAAGGGTATTAAGGATCGCCTCATAAGATGGAAAGAATTTTTTGAGGCCGGACTTAAGCACGATGCGCCATCTGTTGTCCCGAATATAACTGATTCGCCCGTCGAGCCTTATGTTCGCAAATAAGAACTGCCAACGGAAGAGGAAGTAATTTCTGTAACCCATCAAATTCCCGGAGAAGATGGATGGATTTCGGCCAAACTCCTCAACATAATTCACCTTCAACAAATGTACTCTCTGGTATGGCAAAAGGAAGTAATACCAGAAGACTCGAGAAAAACAATTCTGCTTCCAATTCCTAAGAAAGGTGTACTGCGACAATTACGGAGGAATCAGTCTCCTGCATATCTCCGGAAAAATTTTCGCCGGATAGCAAAATGCGTCCTAACCAAGCTGGATTCAAACCGCGGTTGTGCTGACCAGATATTTATGCTAAGAAGGGTGTTGGAACATATAATACGCTTAAAATACCAGCAGCCCATCATCCAATGCTTTATCGATTTTGCAACTGCATTCGATTCGTTTGATAGAGCAGCTCTGGAAAATGATGGAATCTGACGGTGTCCCAGAGATCATTCGACTCATAAAGGCATTTTATCAGCATACTCTGGCACAGATCTGTGTATATGGGGAACTAACAGATTTCTTCGAGATAAAGATAAAAACGTCAGAATGCGTCCTTTAATATCATTACTATGCGACTGAATAATGAGCATCGCTTGTTGGCACTCAGGAGATGTTCAAATCAGTCCAGAGCATAGTATGACCTTGAATAGTCTTGCTGATGATATAGTCCTTTTTGCCCAATTATAAGGAAATGCAAATAATGTTAAATAATGTGTTAACAACTGCAGCGAGAATTGGACTCAAAATCAATGTAAATAAAACGGAAGTATTTTCGCTTTATATACAAAATGCTGATAAATACCTATTTTTATCAATTCATTGCCGGTTGATGAAGTGCTGTACTTTAAATACCTGTATCCACCACAATCCCAAATGCCAGGCAAAGGATGAAATTGTATAATGACAGATATAAATATTTTTTTTTTGGTTAATGAAACCTTTATGGAACCGTCGTGAAATCACCATAAAGACGAAGATCCGCATCCATATAGCTGTAAATCGTTCGATCTTGCTATTTGGCAGCGAAACATAGCCAAAGAAAGTGGAAGATATTAAGAAGCTAACAGCCTTTCACCACTCATGTCTAAGATATACTTTATGGATCCGTCAGACAGATAAAATCGAACATGACTGCATCTTCGCTCATTTATTACCTGTGTTAATAATGGTATCACAGAGCATCGCCTTCGCTGTTTAGGGTTTGCTTTCCATCGTCCACGAAAAAAGTTGACGCATATTTTGTTACTTGCTAAACCCTGTGATGTTGGCGTCAAAAGCAAGAAGGGCCAGTTAAGACTTGCACTGATACAGCCAGGAAAGATTTTGAACGTATAGGGCGATAGATAGACTTAGACAATGGAAAAAGGAATGGCTTTTATTACTATTAGTGATGGACCATTGAGCAGCTTGGAGATATCTTACCCTTGTAGCCACCAGAGCCAGCCTAATCACTACTGGTGAGAGCTGTTAGAAGAAAAAACCACGATTAGACACCAACGCCACGATTATTTTTTTTAATGACAGCTTTATCGAGGGCAAAAACCAAACCTTTGCTTCTCAACAGGATAACTATTATCCACTTAGTTATCCCGTTTTATCTATTACCTATTTCATTTATTTTTGATAATCAAAAAAGGAAATTTTTTAATGAAATTCTTCCAGAAAAAAAAGAAAAAATTAAGAAAAAAATCCAGCGAAATTTAAAATATGAGCTTACATTCGTTGAGACTTTGTGATAAATAATTTGTAATAGCATTAGATTAAAAACAAAAGATTAAACATTTCCATACACCCACACAAATTCAAAAACTTAACGTTTAATGCAAATATATTTAGAAACCTTGATGGGTGGGGACCCGTTACTACTTTCATCCGAAAGTGACTCTCTGACGCAAAAAGGCCTTATCTTAGTAGTTCATATAGTCAACCAAATCGGAAATGCTGAATGCTATTAGTTTCTACGAATTGTCGGATTCATTTAACTTATAGCTAAATATCATGAAATTTTTATGCGAATTAGCATAAAAATCTTTCTGTGGGACTTTTACGAGTTTTATGAGCGTTTGAATTTATGAATGTATAAAAGCCTTGAATGAGAATAAATTCGAAAAAATATAAGATTCGATTCGATTTAAAAAATAAAAAGATTCGATTTAAAGATTTAAATTTCAATATCCAACTAGACGATAAATTTATCCGTTTTTTTCTAAGACAGTTTTCGGTTAGGATCGTTCCGCCATCTTATCGGATCAGATAATCTTGACAGCAAATCACCTGGCGATAGAAACACAGATGGGCAACCAGCACTACCCGATTTTTCAATGATAGCTTTTTCTACTGAGGACATGCTAATCTGGACCTAAATCCATTCGCCTATCTTGCTGATACTTAGAAAATTAAACTTTGAAAATTTCTTTAGAAAAATCTTTCATAAAAAATTTTCTGGTCATATTGCAATATAATTATAGCTAACATGCACATACCCCGTCTCAAAAGTGACCTTGAAAAAGATTTATACACTGATTAGATTCACCATCAAAGAAGATAAATGAAAAAGGAAAAATATGGTGGCTGATAATAAGAGAATATTGGAAAAAAAATGTAATTCATCAAAAATGGACAAAAAAGATAAATTAAGATTTTCATTGACTAAAAAACGGCAAAAAAGCAAATTGAAATATCCAACACGATAATTGTCAAATTATGTCCATTTCAAATCAAAATTAGATGATTATTAATAACCTAAAAATTTCAAGCAATAATTAATTTCAATTTTTTGTATAAAATATTTGAACCAAATTATAAAATTAACTCAAAATCTATCGATTTAAACTAGTGGCTAATTGGGTCATAAAAATTTCAATAAATACTCGCATCAGTAATCATAATTAACAATAAATAGGTGTTTGTATATTGTAGCAATTGAAATAAAAAGAAATTATTTGTGGATGGAAAATAGATAATGCATGGCATAGGAGCAGTGGATCACCAAGAGAACTAGGAATCTATTGAAATCCTTAAAATGTTTTGTGGAATAAATAATCAGTACTATCTGAGGAATCCAATCTGAGGAATACGATTCAAAAAGACATGGCTTATCGATAAATTCATGTAAACTCATAGATTCTTGAACAATTTATGTCTCGATCTTCAGTATAAAGTTTATTCCTAAATCTAATTATAAATTAATTAGGTCGCTTTAAATTAGTTGAATCCGATACAAAAAACCTTTTCTTAACTTTTCATTAATTTAATTGACATCTACCACATTTGTGCTAAAGAAATTTTTAAAATAAAGATAGAACGATGAATTGATAACGAATAAGAAATAAACCTTCCTCTTCATTATCGAAATTTTCATAACTATCAGCCCTTGAGCAATTTGTCATTGAACGTTTCGATCTTAATTTTGGTACTTCGATAAGAAATACAAAATCAACAGCTGCTTGGTTAGGAATTAAAGGATCTAAAATTCATTTTAATTTATTCAGTTATCTATATAATCAAAATATTTTCAATCATTTTATTTTATTTTAATTTTATGATTTTGGCTGATCGCATTGATCACCACACTGCTTTCTCCCAGAGATTCATCTAGGGACAAAAAGTATAGTACCACTCAGCAATACTGCAATACTGCATACTGCATAGCATGCTCGCATTTCTTTCTTCGCATAAATGATTGATAAATTATGCAATTAATAAGAACAAACCAGAAAAAATATCGTCGAGTTCTTCTTTATAAAATCGCAAAGTAAAAATATTTCCTTGCTGAAATGACAAATCAAATGTACATGTATTAAATTGACAACGAAAAAATGATGCCCGTTCAGAAGTTGAGGTTCGTTGAAAACATTTTACAAGGATATCGCCACGTAGAGGTAATACGTCAAAATCTATTGCAGTTCGTTCACGTGTATGCCTTTAATAAATTTATTTAAGGAAAATCTTCACAAGAAAAAAAAAATTTTTTTCAAAGGCTGTATTTCAATTATAAATTCGAACTATTTGAAAAAAACGTTCTAAAAACCAACATTCTAAGAATCGATTCAGTAATATTTTTCCAGTAATATTCACCATTTTTGATTTAGTTCCATGGATTATTACGATGGTACTATTAGCACCATCGATAACAAAACTACAGAATTGGTGAGAAAATTTTTAAAGAAAATTTTTAGTCTGATCTCTATTTATCTACAAATAATCAGTTTCGATATTTCAAGATATGAACGCACCATAGTAAGAAAATCCATATACAAAGGAGATTTTTACAGGATATTACGGCAACAAATCATTAAAAATATTACTATAGTAACTGCATTTTCTTTATTTTTCAGTGAAGGTGATCGTAACTAAGAATACAAATCTTTTCATTCTATAGTGCTCACCATAGCTGGTAGATAATGTAGAAAGAAAAAAATAGGTGCCACTCGGATTATGATACTTGAACTGATAATCTGAGTGATATATAAAGGCCTTACAGCCAGAAGTTGATTATTGTTTCTATATAAGATCATTAAAAAAAGGAAAAACGAGAAGCTGTAAAAATCTCAAGCCCGTCTCAAATACCAAACTATAAATCGCAAATCTGGAAAAACAAAGGAAAATTAATTAAAATTTACATAAGTTGAGTTGTATAAACAGGTTGCATTCGTTCGTATAATTTGAATAAAATATTCCTATTTGCGAAATTAATTAAAACGATCTGTTGTAAGTATATTGTTAATGGATTTATTTTTGTTTTCCCCGATAACAATGATGAGAAATAACCAATGTATCTGCAAAATTTATAAAATTATAGATAAAATAACACTGAATAATCCTTAAAATTCTACATTCGTTCTATACCGACCACAAATCATTATATAACATTTGAAGAGCTGAACCTGTACATGCAAAAAAAATATGCGAAAGCAGACATAGTGGTAAATTTGGACGGATACTGCCATATAAAAAGTTTGTGAATAAATTAAGAAAGAAATAATAAAAAAAAGGTTAAAAATAAAATTAAAAAAATAACCTAAAGAAAACATTGTCTTTATCAAAATTTTTTCTTTCCTATTTTTGTTTTTCTAAATCAATTTTCTCACCTTTAAATCTATAAAATAATGGAAAATTAAAAAAAAAAGGCAAACAAACAAAAGGTCCTCACGCAGACGATGACAATCAAATCGAATGGTCTGATGGTACTAATTTAAATTTATTGTTACATTAGGAATAAACTTATTTTTGGTGATAAAGGAGAAAAAAATTTTGAAAAAAAACCATTTCATTAATTTGTTTTTTATAAAAATTAGGCAAATTTTATAGTATCGCACAAGACTGGAAATGCAAATTCTTAAATATTTCAAAAATGTTATAATAAATAAAAAATCGCTGGGAACCTTTTATGAGATGGTTGTCCATTAGCACCGATAAATTCATCAACAAACTGTTGCATTGCAAGGCATTCCGATACTGATTTACTTCTTAAAATTTAATTTTTTAAATGGATTTTTGGTGAAATGAATATTTTTTTTCTGAATATTATTTCATTAGAATATTATTTCTAAATATTATTTCAGTCAAACCAGATTTTTCTTCTGTTGACTGTGAAGATTTTTGACAAAATTATTAAAATTTTTAAATCCAATAATTTAACCACATAAAACTATAATAGGACAGTCGAATGACATGCATGCCGCTTCAAACAAGGACAAGTCAGCATTCTCGTCGTTTAAGAATTAAAAGTGAAAGCCAGTGGATGCGCTGGAAACCCCTCTATATTTCTTTCTTAAAGGGAATTTTTTCTTTTCACCGAAATCTCAGTGGAGATTTAAAGTTAAAGTTGATAGAAATAGCGAGTGCGAATAGATGAAAATTCGAATTTTTAAATTTTCACGCCAAACTATATTTAGAATTAAATTGGGTTGTTGAATATTGTCGCAAATATTCCGTTTTTTTTAAAAATTTTTGTAGAAATAACTAACAATGAGCAAATATTTATATAATGCATGTATGCAGCAATAACAATAGCTGCTCTCGATCGAGCAGTTTTGCAATGCACAACGATTACATTTTCTCGATTAGCGGCTAACCAGTTTTCAAACATTTTACAAATTGAACATAGACGATCAAGAGGTGGTGCCAGTTCTTGAGGCCAGCCGAGTTCGACTACTGGATGCAACCGAGTTAGATCGCTGCGTTTCTTGGATACATTAAAAATCTGCAAAATCAACAGTTATCGAAAAAATCTGGTTTCTCAAACTGTGTTTTTTAAACTATTAATTTTACAGTAATGCAAAGTGATGAAAAAATTCTGTTATTAATTCAAGAAATAGTCAAAATTTTAAAGATAGAATTTTTTGGTTTCTGTGAGATTAAAGGTTGGCTCAAGCGAAATGTTACGAAAATTATAAATGTTACGAAAGAAAAAATAAAACTATGGAAAAGTAAAGCAATTGAATTGACCATCCATTGAGAATCCGCAAACTAAAACCTATTTTTAAAATTTTAAATTAAAAAACAAACTTTGTAATGGTCGGAATGATTCCTTCTTAATAATAATGTTGCATCTTTAAGACCTGTACGATATTGTGCATCTGTACCTTCAGATGCGAACAATGTCACTGAAATATCGAAAGGAATTTTTATCTTGAATTTTTTCCAGAAAGTTTTGGGATTGCTTAAATTGTTGTAACTTAAAATTTTCTGGACTAATCAGCATAAAGTTTTTTTCAATGAAGATTTTTAAATTCTTGCTAATCATTTTGTTGAAAAATTTATTAAATAAAACAATTAAAAACTAATGTAAATATAAAAAAATTTAATTCGATATTCAATACATTGAAATTTATTAAATCAATATTTTACTTTAGAATGTTAAAATATAATTATTTACTTTAGAATAGAATTATTTTTGTTTTGATTTCAAAATTTATTTTCATTATTTCAACATTCTAAAAAATTTTAAATCTTACAATTTTAAAATCTTTAAAAAATCTTAAATCTTATAATTTTAAAATTTTAAAATTATAAGATTTCAGAAAAAAAAGTTGGTATTTTTGGACCAATTTGGCTTACTTTTATCTCAAAATATTGTTTTATTTTTATAAAGAAATTTAATAAAAATAATAAATTTTGATAAATAATCTAAAATAAAAAAATATAGAAAATATAGTCTGCGTTTAATAAAATTAAAGCTTAATCAATCAATCACATAACAAAGCAGTTTTTAATAAATTTTAGAATAAAGGAACTATAATGTATTTACAAATTTAAATAAAATAAATTGAAAAAAGAAAAAGAATAACCGATAATCCTTTTAGTAATATAGCGAGTTTCCATCTTTACTGAGTGATGACCACTGGTCAACTGTTTACGTTGGTTGTTGCTGATGGTTTTTGATGGAATCAAATTATTGACCAAGGTCGTCGATTCTCTACTTTCACTAATGACCTGAAGTTTTCTTACTGGTGTTTGTAAAAAATGAGAAGAAAAATATGACAGCCAATTTGTTCGAACCAATTACTGGTTATAAAAAACAGCTATCGCAGTGGAGTGAGGATAGTGATTAGCCAAGTAGATTGCGGTTTAAATAATCGTGTTGACTGGGAAACGATTCGAATCTTGCTTCTTTAAAGCAGTAAAATTATAATTAAAAAACTGAGTGGTGTTGGAGACCTACCGACCGTTTTGCCAAGTGGTTCCCGAGCGAAAAGTTTTAAAGCAAAGGGAATTAACCAGAAATTGTAACTAACTGGTTGTGAAAAAAGTTGCCACACCGATTTACTGGCAAAAAAAATTTTAGATTGGACAATAAAAAAATTTTTTCACAGATCATTGAACCATATGAAAACCGGTTTATAAAGGATTTAAGAAAAAATAACTTTAACAACCTTATTTTATTTCTAAAATAACAAAATAAAACAATAATAAACAATAAAACAATATAAAAAAGTTTTAAAATTTTTCTTTTAAGAATAATAAATTTTAGAATTTTAGATTCCTTTTTTTTCAGGCAAATAAGTTAATAAATCAAATCTTGGAGGAAATCAGAAAAAAAGATATATTTCACTTTGAATGAAGTAAAATTGATGAAAAAAGCACGAATTGTATGTAAGTAAAGATAGTTGGATGAATGGGGATTAGATGTACAGCAATTAATTTACAACAACTCATAACGAGGGAAAGATTTTTGGAGAACAACTGTCTAGTGTTCAGTGTTTCTGCCAATTTGGTTCTTTCAAAGAACTATTATAATTTGATTTCTGAAACGTTCATTAAAATACTCAATTATGGAAAGTTTAAAGTATTTTTTCTTATTTTTACTACTTATCAAAAAAAATAAATAATGCTCTTTTAATAAGATATTTTTAGAGAATTTCTTGTAATTGTTAATATCAATATCGTTATTATTATAAAAAATTCTTAATTTCCAGTTGTATAGCCATTATTATTACTAGTAGTTTTGACTAATTTTACTACAGCAATTATTAAGCAGTAAGTAAATGAATGTATGCCGATTTCTACTTCTTTCAACGGCTATAGTAATTTAGAAATTTTTGCCAGAGAATCGCTTGAGGATAGAAATACGGGTGATTACCCAGTAACCAACTATAATAATAATTAATAATGATAATGAAATAAAAAATAATACTATATGAAATAACCTCCAAAATTCTTAACGTTAAATCACTTATAAAATTGAATTTTCATAAGATCAAAATTGCAGCTTAAACTTAAATTTCCATGCTCCGTTTATATTCGAACACCAAAGAGATTTAGACCAGAAATAGCAAACTTTTGGACTGACACCTCAAGTTCATCTCCTGAAGTATAGTATTATGAAATCCACTTGTGTCACCACTAATTTATTTTATTAATATTAATATTAATCAATGGCTATTACGGTCATTTTTATTGATTATTATTATTATATATCATAATTATTAGTATTATATTTTTTACTGTTATTATTGCTATCACATTAATACACACAGACCAACAGAATTTAAGATTCGCGATTTACTTGACGGCACTTAAAAGATGATAGTTAATCAAGATCATTTCTTAAATTTCATGTATATCCAGAGGTAATTAAGGAACGATTATTTGACAGCAAATCCCAACTAAATTTAATATTCATATGATCCTGCAGATTCTTCGCATATCACCGATAGGTGAAATACGACTTAACGATTTATAAATAAATCTGATAATTCTCAATTCTCAATTTTCAGTCTGCAACCTAACCTTTTGATATCGAATATCTTAAATTAATTCAGCAATTATCAAAATTTTATTTAATATTATTTTTTGAATCTCAATCAGTCCTTCATAAAAATTTTTTGCCGAGTAGTTATCTTTCAAAGTTGCTTCCTGGCTAAAGTAAATCTGTCATTAATGGAATTTGAGAACAGCAACTGCAACCTACTTCTACTTCTAAACATAAATGACTCTGGCAAAAATTATTGAATAAAAATTCAGCCGATGGAGCAAATCTAATTAGAAATGCTGCTTACTGACAAATTAATTAAACGATTCTATGTGATATTCACAAGAGTTTTGGTAAGAAGCGAAAATATGGAAAATTTGGCACGAAATGAATGGAAAGTTTGGAAGCCAAATTGAAACACTTTTCAATATTGAAATATTAAAGCAGATAAATTTTCTTTTTTAAACAAAAGTCGTTAATGGAGCAAAATCGATGCAGTTTAGATCCTTTTTTTAAATTTAGTCATAAATCTTATTTTTCTATTTTAACGGTACTTCTGCAATGAAATATCCCTTCGAGTAAAACAGATTTCATACCGTACATCACTTAATCGGTTTTTAGTTCAACAGTTCAAGTTCAAGTTTAGAATTTTTGAGTATTTCTTTATTTTCAAAAATTCATGATTTTCAAAATTATTTATTTCAATAAATTATCATGTTCTATTATTCTATTATTATTTATATTAATAGTTATCAATTATCATTAAATAAATATTAAATCATAATCAAAATTTTTATAAATTTAATTGTTTCTATTAATTTACAAATCTTAATAATAATAGGACCAATATGACCGAGTGAGATTACTGCTCAAATTACTGTTTTCAGTATGAAGGTTCGAACTCTTCCAAAGAAATAAACCTATCATTTAAAAAATGCTTGTAGTGTTGAGTGACTATTTTAATCGGCTAGTGACTCCCTAATGAAAATTTCTTATCGTTCTATTAACAAATGGAGCAAGCATAACCAAAACTAGTGAGCATTTGCTTTGAGAATAAGTAAATAAATATATAAAACATCGAAAAATGAAACATTACTTAAATTTAACAGGAAATATTGTAAATACGATAGTATTTGATCGTATCTGTGAAAATAATTTTCGACTTCTGTTACATTTATTTTACAACAAGAAATCAGAGAATAAGAGAACGGGTGGTGCTCGCGAACCATTTTTATCGCCAAGCATCTCTCTGGCAAAAATTTCTCATCAAACTAATGGTGAACGGAGATGGTCAAACCAGAAATGATGAAAGCTAACTTTTTTTTTGCTTACTTGGTATTTTTAGAGAATTCCTAGAATTTTTCAAATTTCTATTCTATTTTTATGCTTTAAAATTATTTAAAACTATATTTAAAATTTACAAAAAAAGACTTTAAAATTATAAATATTTTAAAACGAACGTAATTCTAAAAAATAAAAAACTAATTATAGGTAAAAATAAAAAACTAATTATAGGTAGAAATTAAAGTTAGTAAAAAGATTCAAGCTTAAACCTATACAATAAACTTTCACTGTATAAACCATTTATAAAAGTTGGTTCCATTATCAGATAATTAGCTATCTTTTAATATTTCACTATTAATACTATTAATTAGGATGTCTTTAAAATTTCGCCAAGGAGCGATAATAATTATTATGATATTCAAACTAACAGACTAATAATAAAGACATGGTGAAGGATAGCAGAGTGGCAGGCACATTGAGACAAGGGTTCGGATCCTATCTCCAAATGAATAAACTTTTTTTTTAAAGAGCTCTCACCATTACTGTTTAGACTCATTCCGCTGGCTTATCGCACTACAAAAATATGCCAGGTAAATAGGTGAGTCGCCAGCATCATCTCGATTTTTGAACAGGTTTACTCCTTCGGGAAATGGAATTTCGGCGCTCGGAAATGAGTGAAAACCCACTGAGTGGATGGCACGTTGAGACAAGGGAGACAAGGGTTCTATGTC